CGCACAATGTAATTCAAATTGATTTCGAAGGACCCATCCTCAAAAATTGTTTGCCTCAGCACCTCGTTGGATTGCAAATCGGCGATTTTGGCAAACAAAATGCTGTTGGTAAAAAACGGATGGGAAAACAAATTGGAACAGTATGCTCTATGCAACGCATTTTCGTTGCAGATTCTGCTGATGAATTAATGCGGAATACCCACGATTTTCTCTCACCATTTGGTGAAACGAATCGAATTTGCCAAGTTCTGCCTTGTTCAACCATGCAGTGTGCCAGCAATACACCAACTTGGACACAACGCTTGCAAAATAAATTTTGACCTTCCATTCGCCATTGGGGGTGCTGTGCGTTTATACACGTTCGCAAGTGTTCAAATTCACGGGAATTGTTTAGCGGCCGGTTTTGCCTTCATTGTTGGTGCAACCATGTGCAACCCCTTTTTTGCGTTTGTGATTTAGCGGCGCCAGTTTTTTATTTGAACAGCGATGAATGCATGAATCCAATCCTTTGGATTCATTGGGTTTTTTCGCAGGTATGTGAAATCCATTGCTCGGAAAAAACGTGATGTTGGCAAATGACTTGTTGATGGGTACATACGGTTTGCCTGCATGCTAACAGCAAAGGAATCCCTTCAGTTGTGAATTCGACTTTGAATTCAATTGTCGAACAAACTGCACTTCCAACAAATTGCACTCCTAAAAAATTTTATGATTACATATGGTTCCATATGATTAAATACGGGTGCACTTTGGGGACGTCTAGTCTAGCAGCTTAGTCGTGTCCCTACCCTCGCGATTGATTTCAACACATTTATCATTTCAGAGTTCATGATGTAAGCAATTGAAGTAGGCCACCCGGTGCGCCCAATTGCACTTCACATCGGTTGGCCCACCCAAAAAAATACGAAACATGTGCAACAAAAAATTGAAACATTGGAAACCCAAGTTGGGTGAACAGGGCAACCCGGCTACATTCCACTCCGACCTCTGCCATCGTCCATCCACGCCGATTCACTGTTAGATGCGGGGTCGCACCACAGAATTGTCACATTTTTTTTGGCATGATCAAAAAAAAGTATGCATTTGCCAAATATTAGTGCAATTTGTTACTTTGATACGAAACAATTTTTAATTTTTCACTTTTGCAAAATTTTTGGCGTACGAACGGCTCTATGCAGATTTGGTACGAATGCACGCACACAAAACACAAACGATGAACTGTGAAACAAATGAATATCAATGATTTTGCCCACACGTAGGAAGACACAAAACCACCCAAAAACAACATATTTATAAAAAACTACAACGGTGAAATTTTCGAAAACATTTTTTGGGAATGGGACATGGCAAATTGTAGCGCCAATTCCGTATAGTTGGGGCCAATACGAAGTCATTTTTTTGGGCCTGTTAGTGTCCAAACCATAGCTGAGCTGGGCGTACTCGTTTTGCTCCTGTTCCTTACTGGTTGTTTGTTCTCTGGGCCTTAAACAAGCGGGTTTCAGGTTTAGAACTATGGGTTAACTGAATTCGAAAAGCCGCTGCCGCAAACATGATGGTGATGGTATGTGCCAGGCGCACGACCGAAAGTACGACCGAACGACTGGAACGTGCGACCGAACGATCGAAACGTACGACCGAACGACCAAGAGCGTACGACCGTACCACCGAAAGACCAAGAGAATACAATATTGTCGTTATGCAATCAAACATATATTATTATTATGTGTATTAATATCCGGGGCGTGGCTGTTGTTAACCGCAGGCTTGTTGTGAGCCTGGGGAACCCGGTTCATTGGGGAACCTGCCAGCTTGACCCTGCTAAGGTGCAAATATAAATAAACTGATTCTTAAATCGTTGCAACTATGCCTTAGATCCTGGACACTATTTCGTAAAACTTGAGCACTATGTTCCAAATCCAGGAAACTATTATTTAAATCTGGGAAAGTATTTCTTAATTAATTTGTGCCCAAACCCAGAAACTATTTACAAAACTTGTATGCTTTTACCAATCGGAACTATCGGTCGAGGAGACAAAATTACTTGAAGTCCAGAACTTGCCCCACACAACTGAACCATGTCACCAAGAGAGAAAGGCTGCCACGCTGTTGGTGCAGACTTTCTTCATTCTCGTTCGTTCTGTGTTAGCTTCCTACTACTCAATCTGCAAACAGGCGTTATATTATATCATATTCTACGTGTATTTTTTTCAACTTGAGATGTCACCATCATTATTAGTATATATATATATATATATTTGTCATGCCGGGCGAACTGGAACTTCATTTCCGGACGATTGATTTATGGATCCGTCCCGTGGACATGCCAAAACAACCGTCGACAGGCCAAAAGTGAACCGTCGACATGCCAAAAGTGACCCGTCCACGTGCCAAAAGTGGCCTAGGCGATGCCAAAACAAGATTCCTCCTTAGATTAGTATTGAAAGAGAGAGAAAGTTTCAAATTCCTATTGAAAGTAGACAGGAAAAGGATGGAAAAGGGAAAAATTGGCGAAATCCTATTCGAAGCAGTATTGGACGGCCTGCGGACTGGAAAATAGTAAATAGTAAAATAGTAAAATAATAGGAACGGCCCGTCGACATGCCAAAAGTGACCCGTCGACGTGCCAAAAGTGACTTGGGCGATGCCAAAACAAGATTCTTCTTTAGATTAGTATTGAAAGAAGGACAAAGTGTCAAATTCCTCTTGAAAGAAGAAGCGACAAGGGAAAAATTGGCGAAATCCTATTCAAAAGTGGTATTGGACGGCTTGCGGGCTGGAAAATAGTAAAAATTGTAAAATAGGAAAATAGTAGGAACGGCCCGTCGACATGCCAAAAATGACCCGTCGACGTGCCAAAAGTGACGTTGGCGGTTTAAAGGTTTATATTGCGAAGGTCCCTTTATATCTCCCGGGTTCGTTTTGGCATGTCGACGGGCCCGGTTCCGATTGATTTACCTTGATATGAAACTGGCATCTGGCGTTGTTGGATTTGTCTCCAAGATGCGATGAGTGCATGGAAACAACGCCTTGGATGTCATGGTGTCAGCGTAGGATTATAACAGCGTTTGACCAGCATTCGATATGCAGATGATCTTCTATTCTTTGCAAAGGGTGAGGATGGACTAGTGTATTTACATGCTTCAAGTTTTGTGCGCAAAACTCCGCAAAGTCGGATTATTATCACTTCTTTTAACGAAAGTGTTTACCACGAAGGAGATGAATATCCCAGATGTGATCATCGTCAACGATGAACCTATTGATGTGATGAAAAGCAATGGTGCCCACAAATACCTTGGAAGAACATACAATGGTGATTTGACAAAACGTCGCCACATTGGGTTTCAACATCGAGTGCGTTTGGCTTGGGCCAAATTTAACCATTACCGCGAAGCATTGACAAACAAACAGATTTCAATCGAAGTACGCTTGCGTTTGTTTGACGCAGTTGTGACCCCTACCATTTTGTTCGGTTTGATGACCATGCCCTTAACCGCATCTGATCTGAATCAGCTGGACACAATACAACGTCGCATTCGGTCTTTGCTTGGTTGGGTCCGTGTGCAGGATGAACCTTGGAGAGATATGATGAGTCGGAATTCGTATAAATGAACGTGTGCGATCAGCGTTACATTGTCATGACGTCAAAAGCTGGAAATATCGATTTGCAAATCAACATTTTGCATTTGCCACAAAAGTCGCTGGAACATGTGGTTGGCCAAAAAAACACAATGAAGTGGTGCCCTTTTGATCGTTGGCAAGAAAAAATTCTACAGCAACCAGTTCGAAGCAGAGGACCGTCCGAAGAGATGGGACGACAATTTAAAGGTTTTTTGCCATCAAAACTGTCCAATCTGTCGTAGCTGGGTTGAAGCAGCCGGGCAGCATGACTGGGTTTGGACACGCGATCTGTCTGTACAGTTTGTATTCGACGAAATTTGACCAAGGTACACATTTAATAGATGTGGTTGGCCCATGCGAACTCGAACGGGCGCAAAGACAGAAAAACAGTTTTGTGTCATGATTTAAAGAAAAATAAGGGCATCGCAGAAACCATTTCAAACGGTTTCCGAATACTTTCCAAGTATATAATAACCCGAACTGTTTCCTGCTATTTGCGACTTCGCCGTGGCAAAAACACAAAATAGATTCAAATAGGTTCAAATTGTTTCAGATAGTTTCTAGGCATGGCGAATTAGGAAATAGTTCGAAACCGTTTCAAACCGTTTTATACTACTTATTAGGTAGTCCGAAACCGTTCCAAACCGTTTCAAACCAATCCCTAGAGGCCTAACTTTCGTTACATTTTAACTCCCCATCGAGGTGGTATCGGAAGAGTCCGGCATTCCCCGTGTAAATTTCCGCACACAATGCGTCTTGTGACATGTCTATGGTCGCGGGATACGGGTCCAGCATTTTCCTTGTAAATTACCGTGCAAAATGCCTCTTGTGACATGTCCATGTGCATTTCGATTGCGCAGGCTCGTGCAAACCGATGTCCCCAGAGGTGTCCCGGTCGTTTTTCCCATAAATTTCCATAAAACATGTTTCTTTATCGCACCCAGTCAGGCGAATGTCAGCCTATGAAAGGTAACGAAACATGTTTTGAATTTAATAAGGTTCATGGGGCATGTTCATGCAAAACTACAAGGTGATGGCGTTGATCCCTTGAGGCCTGGAGGAAGTTTCTTCCATTTTTTTGGGTGAGATGCGTGTGGAAGTTAGAAACGCGACATGGATGCGAACATGATTTCGTTCTTTTTGTTCCAGTTGCCCTATTTATTTTGAATGTTTTGGTCGAACGGTTTCCACATTGATGTTTTTTTTGTCGTATTGTTAGCCCCCCTGATGGCAAACCCCCGCGTAGGTCGCAGTTTCTATCGGATTCGTTGGTCGCTCGTATTGCCCTATTGACTGAGAACTTGCAAGGGCTGGTTGCTGCCCAAAGTTCCCGCACGTGGATTTTCATGTTTGTGGCGTGCAAGAATTTGGATCGGCTTTAGAGCGCGCTGGCCCCAAAAGGGGCGCGACGGTAGCTCCCAGCCACGAGTTCGCAGAAATCATGTCGAGCACCCATTCATCACCACGGGGATGGGATTCGATTCCACCAGAATCCGCACAAACTATGCCTCCATCTCCCAATTGGCAACGCTATAGTCACAGAAGACCACCCAAAAGTGGACGCTTTGAGGCATCCTCAACACTTGCATCTTCAGTGAGACGGGTAAGGTCGTCAGAACGTCCATGTTGCCCGTTGGCAATGAGACCGAAGTGGCCCAGGCGTGATCACCTTCCAGCATGGGAAATTGAAGGTGTCCGGTCGAGGTTGAGAGGAGGAGCATATTTAGGTCATGACCCGACAGACCGACTTCAACAGAGACTGGACGTGGAACGCACAGGTTACCTGACTTTCGACCAGTTGCGTCGAGTTGTGCGTTTGAAACTCCGAGTCAAAACTTCCGATGTCTCCAATGAAGATTTGGCGAACCTTAGTTATATGCTGGACTTTGAGGATTGTGGCATGGTACGAGTAGATGACTTCGTGTCTTTTGTGCTTGCGGAGAAGCAGGTTCTTTGGCGGCCTACGGCCGAAGCCATGAAATCGAAATCCCTGTCCAGCCTGGCCACGACGCAGACAAGTTTTGGCCAGACCCGTGGATCCCGTGGTCGCTCAAGCTCTCGGAAGTCTGGTGATTCCAGGTCTCCATCACCAACGGCATCGACGTTCAGACCAGAGGAACTTGCAAGGGCACTGTCGCTTTCCAGATCTGGTTCCCCAACCCTGCGAGGAAGGTTAAATGTCCTTGGGCCACTGGTTCCACAGGAGCTGTCCTTTGAGGAAGACGTACAAAGGTGCTGTCAGTCAGGAAACTTGGGGAGGCTGCGGGTTTTGTTGGCCAGAAGCCCCATGGGTCAGAAACCGCTCAGTGCGGAGCTTGGATGCAAATGCGCCCATCTTGCTGTGCACCTCGGCGACGAAGAGATTTGTGATTTGCTGCTGCGTGCACAAGTGGACCCACGTTGCCGAGCTCAGAGTGGAGCAACCTTGCTGATGCGGGCTGCACTCTATGGGCACAAAGGCATAGACAAGAACCTGTTGACCAACTGGCGCGCAAATCCTATGGATGTCGATGAGAAAGGATGCAATGCACTGCATTTGGCGTGTTGTTCAAACCTCGTCACACTGCAGCTATTGGCAGAGCATTCACCAAGAGCCATTCACGCCACAGACAAACTTGGCAGGGGCTGTTTCTACTATGCTTTGGCCAACTGCAAGCCTGATGAACAATTCCGAATCTTGCAGTACCTTCTTTACAAGAGATGTGATCCAAATTGTCCGGACGATGATGCCCACAACGCTTTGTGCTATGCCTTGGAAGCAGGGAATTATGAGGCAGTCAGCTTGTTGCTTTGTGCCGGGGCAGATGTTGATCTGTCACTCCTCGCCAATCATCGCTTGGGCAGCAACCCTTCCAATCCTTGCGGATGCTTTGAATGCGTTGCAAGGAGCCCACGTGATGTCACGCTTGGAACAGATCCAGACCAGACCCAAGGTCTTAGGAGTCTGACGTGACTGATCTGATGATGTGAAATGGATCCTTGGTACCCTTAAACAGCAGTGCGGCTGTTCCTCAAACTTTAGTTTAGTGAATTTTCACTCGACTTGCAATTAATTTCAAAGGATGCACTGTACAAGTGCCCCGTGAACGCGCTTGTGTAACACAAGGCAGCTTCACCAAATTGTTGTATGACAGATATATATGCAAAGTTTGGGTTTGCAGAAAGACCTGGCGTGAACATGTATATTTGGCACTCGTTGTTCTCATTCATTATGCAAGAAGACAAGTGGATTGGAGACAAGAGCCTTGTGCATCCCTAAGATGCCTGCTTCACTTTCGGCTTGAGGCACCAGAGGTGCAGCGTTGTTGTCCAGGATTGTGATGTGCCTCCAATTGGTGCTATGGGAGCTCAATTCTAGCGCATTGAAGAGATAATCAGGCACATCATTTCGTTCTTTTGGGCGTTCCATGTGTTTTGCAATTTTTCAATCGGTTCCCGATCCTCCTTTGCAAGTCATTCCCTTGTCAGGATTGTCTGGAATGGGCACTGAGTACAGGCGACATTTTATTGCGCCTGGATCTTATTTGTGCTCAGCGTGCTTATCAATCTAGTCAAAATATGTCAAAATCGCCTCGAACATCAAGCGTCTAGGTATGACTGGTCACGGCTCACAAATGCCCGCCTCCTGCCCGAGACTCAGCATCTCACGTGAATCCAGGCCTGAGACTTTCAGTCACGAAGGATGCGCGCAAGATTTGCATCACTGTTGTCTTCGATTTGCATGCATGATCCATGACAAATTCATGGTGCTCTTCTGCGGCCACGCAGCTCATTCTGTACTGGATCATGGATTATCATCCTGATAGATCATTGCTGAGCATTGCTTATACGCGCAGGACGGCATAGTCGGCATAGTGTTCTGTTTTTGCTCAGAAGCGGGAACAACCTACCAAAGGAGACGAATTGAGCCATTTGTGTAGAGCAGATGGACAAAAGCTGGAAGATGATGTGACTTTCTATTTGCACCCGTTCTGTCCGTATACTCTTACCTCCGATGGCGAATGATTTGTCCGAGGATCAGGCGTGGTTACAAACTCATCTTAACACACATCCTTGCATCAAGCTGTTGCGAAACTGCTTTGATCCTGGATAGTTGGCAGGTTTTGGCGTACCTTTCCAAGCTGTCACCAGAAGCTGCAGCCGCCCTTCTGTCCAAAGCAAATCAAGAAAAAAACTCGTCGCAGCTACGGAATGAGGATTCCGAGGCGTGGAATGCAGAGGATCAGCTCATTGACAACTCCCGTGGCCCCAGTGGCCTGGTTCAGGAAAGACCTGAAGATGGAGAGAATGTAGCTGCTTTTGTGATGCGCACGCTGGCTGCAGGCCCCATAGTCCCAACGCGGAAGCATTGCGTTTTGAAACTTGCTGACTTCCTCTCTGACAGCATTGTGCTGAACCTTCTTTTGAGGCAACATTGCTGGAGCTAAGCGATTCTGGCGTCAAGCAGATTTGAGCTTTCTTGGGGAGGCTGGTTGGTTTCGTTTTGTGCTTACCGAGGCCTCATTTTGTACAATAGTGTTTTTGCAAATTCATTCCGACTGTTGTGATTTTCTTTCACATTTTCGTGATTGTTGTTAGGACGGTTGGAGCTGCCTGCACTGGGTGGTACATGCTGCTGGCGCAGCCCTATCAAAGGCAAAGGAACAGGCGGGGTACTTCGATTTCCGATGATTTTGGCAGCTGTCGCAGTAGCAGTTGGAAGCAGTTCAGCAGCAAAGTCGTTTCTTTCAGCATGGATGTTCATGAAAGAGAGCTTTCCAGGAGCCTCAAGTTGGCTGTGGCTGCCACTGCCATTCCGGTGCCTCCAGTGCCAGATGCCAGCTCCTCAGGGCACTAAGATCATATTAGATTTAGAAACTTTGGTATCCAAACTTCACGATCGAAGGGTTAAAAGAGATGGAACTTGACTTGGACCAAAACCAGCCTTTCAAATATGAGGTGTGGGGCACTTGTCCCTGCGGGACTTCAGTCATTTGTTTTGTTTGGCATTGGCTTTTTGATTCTCACTGTGCAAGTGGCATCAACTTGCCAGGTCCAGCCTTGGCCCTTCTCCGTGAAATGCTTGACCACGACGACGTTGCAGCTGCTCGCCGTCAAAATTCTTCGTCCATGTTGTTCGACATGGCTTTGTCACGATCCTGTTACTCTACCGTTACCAAGGTTGATGTGCGAAGCTCCCAAGGCGCCACATCCTTGATGTTTGCAGCTGATGCTGGCGATGAAGAAGTTTGTGCCTTGCTGCTCCACGCTGGCGCGGACCCCTCTGTACCATGTCCCATTTTGGAGCGTTTTGCTATGTTGTTTCTGTTTGGTTTTTTGAGCTTCTTGATGCCCAACTCATGCTTCTTAGTTGAGGCAACCGATGCTGATGGGGACGATGCAGTAGCTTGGGCAAAAGCTCGAGGACATGAATTGTCCTGTCTCGGCCGAGCGTCCTGAGAAAAAGAACCGTGCGACAGGCCTTGTGAGTGACAAAATCCTCTTGAGCATGCGACTGCGAAAAGGATATAATTCAGCTAGCAGTGGCTGAGGACCCCTCCTGGCAAAGAAGGTTCAGATAGTTCGGCCACCCTGAAGAAGAAGAAGGCGTGGCCATTCGATGTGTTACTGGTTCCCGTTCATGATGACAGCGAAGAAAGGCATGTCAGAACGATTGGGCCAGTATCACCAATTCGGCGGTGACTCCTACGCGAATTCCATACTTGCCTTTAATACAGTATTTCTTTGCGGCATTCATGCAGGCTGGGAAAAGCACGGACAACATTGGGAATCACTTGCATGCAAGCAAGATCCTTAAAGATTCTGATAACCGCCGGCGCGCTGCGTGGTTTTCCGTAGAGACGTACCATGTGGACTTTGCGTAAAATCCCAGCTGAAGGCTGAAGGAGCCAAGAATACACAGGCATATGACATACCTACAAAACATACCAGCCTCGGGCATCATTCATTTCTTCGCCTGATTTCAGTTCCTGCTCACCTGCAGCTATTTCCCGTGCTTTTCCGTCTGAAGTCCCCAGGATTGAAGATGCAAAGTGTGGCCAATCTATGCCCTCCCTGGCAGGGGCGCTCATGGGCGTCATGGTACTGGGAGAATATGTTTCAACATAGGATTGCCACAACAGGGTGAACATCAAGGTGTGAACGTGAAGCAAGTGATACTTCGAGAATCTTCAGGAAAAGATTCAAATATTTTGGTGATTTAGTGGCTCCAGGGTCAACACCCTTCTGTTCCTACGTCCGGGAGCAGCCGACCACGTGCTATCCTTGATCAGGGTCAAGCAAAAACACCAGAAGGTATTTCATAACAGCTGCGCCGTTTGCTTGTCGCATGGCGCTTGGTGTTTGACGTCTGTAGTTTTGAGGCTGAGACCCCAGATGACCCGGGTCTCAGATGGGCTGGTACATGCGCAGGAGATGGAAGCATAGATGTTTGATGGTGTGCTATGGTTTGCCGGAGATGCTTTGTTGCAGCAATTCCAGGGCTGGGACAATGGATGTCGCCCTTCACATTCAACAGTTTTTGAGTTGCCATGGAGCTTATGCTACAGGAGCACTTGGAGACCAGAAGATTCCAGCGCGGAGACTTAGGGTTATCGGGGGTAAATTTCTCGTTTTGCATTCTGCATTTGCATGGAATTTGATGGAAGTCATGGGAAGCCAATGGATTTCTAGCAGATCGAGGCAGAGAATTCTGGGGAAATGGGGCATGATCAGAGCATCAACCTAGGCCAACTTATGCTGATCATGGATTAGATTTTCGTCTGGCCAAGCAAAAGTCAACCGAAGGCCGAGGCAAGTTACTAAGCTCCGGTGTTTGCAGTCCATGACCGGCATCTAAGTCTTTTGGTGTTTGGAAGCTTTGCAATTCTAGCTTCAGTGGTTCAGCCTCAGCAATCACTACGAGGCATTGTTTGAGCAACAAACCCCAGTCCTGGCTTGTGACTGCTTACTACCTTGCGTCATGTTTAGCAAGGATGTCTGAATCGATGTGGGGTATTTGAGAACAGTGTGGCTGGAGGCATGCGAAAAAGCAAGTCGGTTCCGACAACGTGGTTGCCTCAGTTGGGTGCATTTACGTGGTTGAGGCGGTTGAGGGGAGGGAAAGACATGCATCTTTGAATAGGAAAGACACAACTGCCGAAGATGTCGAAGCCATCGTGGTACCTGCTGCACTTGCCAATTCTGTGGCTTTTCCTGTGATGCAGCTGTGCAAGGAGAGAGGTGCTGTAGCTGTTTCTTTGTCTATCATTTGGGCTGTTGATCTTGTGGAGTGCAGGTTTTCACAGCAGGTGGCACAATCGTAGTGCTAGAAGTCTGGTCCTGGGTCTGGTTCTTGCTTGATTTGGGCTCAAGAACTTGAAGTAAGAAAAATAAGCTGAACAGTTATGAATTATGAACTATCCTCCGCAAATGTTTGCCACGTTTACTATCATATCATATCTATATATATATACCCAGTATTACCCAGTAGTTCATCCATGGGTCTTCGCAACATGGGGACGAATTGTCCAGATGAAATTAAAGTCAATTCAACATACCAAACCCAATATTTAAACATATCAAACATACTAAGCTGGTGGCTCTTGCATATTTTGCATGCAGACCCTCTTAGCATCTCCGAAGACAGCTTTGCAAGCCTGCAGAGGGTCACCTGCCAAGATCTCAGTGGTCCATCAGAACAGAATACTGCATATGAAACCTGTGTCCAGCTGTGTTGTCGCTGCAGCTTTTCCTGGGAAATTTTAGCATTTTTCCACAAGTGCGAATATATATATATATAATTATATATATATAATTATATATATATATAATTATATATATATATTGCAGTATATATAGTATATATAGCATGCATGCATGCATGCATGCATGCATGCATACATACATACATACACACTCACATATATATATATATATATAGATACACATATAATATGTATCTATATATATATATACATATCCGCGACAATACACATCTCCGCCAAGCATTGTTCTTGATGTCATTTTCTTCAGTTTTCTGGGACTGGGTCACTGGAGGCGCCCAAAAGGTCTGCAACGATGGTAATGGAGAGGATTGGCAGTGATGTTGATTGCCGTTTTCCTTTGAAACGCAGCCTCCTTTTACAGGGACGGAGATGCTCATGTACTTTTTCATATTGTTACATCCCCTGGTTTGCTGCCACCGTTGCATTGCGACATGCAGATATGGAACAGACCTGCAGGATCAGGGCTGGGTACAATGAGGTCCCGGTGCCAGTGAGAAACACGCTTCTTGGCTAGCGATAGGGGGGTCTTTGCTTCCGGCACTGCCTCATGAGAGATTCAGAACCACCGTCAACCGCTATTTGCAGATGCACACCATCGGAATGCTGTCTGCAGGCCTTGACTTGTGGTTGGCGTACATGTAGCAGTTGGCTTCGTCTTCCTTTTCATTTCTTTCTTTTGGGTCCTTCAACCACGTTGCACAAGATCTACAACCAAGCAGTCTGTCAGTGTACGCCACCGCTGGGCCCAGGTTTGTGCACTTTTTCGAAGATCAGACTGTGGCGATTTCTCGCTGGGTCACGTGCTGGGTCTCCAAGAAGGGTCATTCTCGGTCTTTTTGTTCTCTCTTTAAATCATCTAAGAATCTCACACACTTATGAGGAAGTCAGTTAAGCTTCTTCTGCTTCTTCACTTTGTAACTTTTTGTGTGTTTCAAGCCATTGCCCGTACTGTGTTTCTCAACACTGCAGTTGCGGTTTAAGGGAGTTTCCAAATGCATGAGGCCCTGCAAAGCCAGAAGAGAATAAGATTGAAACAGCAACAGTTAGCACTTGCCTTCCAGGCTGGGGGCTGGGGCCCACTTTGCTGTCCTTTTGCAGTGATGTTGGGCCTGATGTTGGATGATATCAATGAAATTTGGTTGCAACAGTTACAACAAACAATTTCCCCATTGCCGCGATTAGGCGGAAATGACGAGAATCAGGCAAGAACTGCTGGGTGCACGTTGATGGCATATTCAAACCAAGTCTCTCCACAGACCACTGCTCATTCAGATATACGGCCGCATAGTGTCAGTTTTGACAGCGAGAGAGAGAGAGAGAGAGATACCTACATACCTACATACATACCTACAAAACTTAACATACCATAATAATTTAACATAACATAACATGACATACCATAACATACCATAACATATCATAACATAACATAACATAACATAGATAGATAGATAGATAGATAGATAGATCGATTAGATTAGATTAGATTAGATTAGATCAGATAGATAGATCGATAGATAGATGCATACATACATTACATGCCTGCCTGCCTGCCTGCCAGACAGACAGACAGACAGCCAGACAGCCAGACAGCCAGCCAGCCAGACAGACAAGCAGGTGACATGCGACATGCGAGACATACCGACATGCCTAGAGCGTGCTAGCGAGCCCTTTCCAGCTGTCAGGAACTGCTTGAGCCTCAGTCTGCGACCTCAGGTTCCCAGATGACAGTTTGCCCCAAAAGATTTGGAGAAAAGGTGCCCCACAACCGTACACTGTAATATATACGTATATCATATATGCATTCCATTATATATAGTTTATGGCCATTTGACGATATTCTGTGTAAATTGACTTTGGAGATGCTTCGGAACTAGAATCCAAGATTTATGACTAGTTTACTGGAAAGTGGTCATAAATCGTGGATGATTTTTCGCGAGTTGCCAAGGCTGATGGACAAGGACAGGGAGAGCACGGCATTCGCGCATGTTTCTGAGAGGTCACTGGATTTCTGCTCCATTCTCAGGAGGACCCTTGGGCTTGCAAGAGCAGCCAGAAGGAGGCCCGTTGTTTAGGGACGGGGGATGCACATGGAGTCGAAAGGCTTCGAGAGCACAGGTCTTGAGCAGCGAGCAAGAGTTGCGATTGAACAAGACGATCAATCGCCACACATTTGCACGAAGAACCAAAGACAGGATTCTGTTTCACATGGTAGTGCTTCTTTGTCCCATTTTAATCCAACGTGTCAAGGATCGTTGCCTCTTCTAAGGTGAAATCACGCATGCTGCTAGCAAAGGCCGGCTAAGGGACAGTGATCCTTTCGTTCAAGAGTTGGGAGCCTTGCGGTTAATGCAGGCCTTTGGCAGTTCAAACATTTTGGCACGTGAATGCCGTGAATGCATGTGAATGCTGCTTTGTAGTCAATTGCTGTCAGCTTGCTGTATTATAGGTGATGTCAACACTGTCCTGGATGTTGCTTGGAGCCATTTGAACTCCATGAACGGAACCTTGGCATGGAATTAGCGCTGTGTTGGAGTTCATTCCAGACAGCAAGTGGCAAGAATGCTTTTAGACACTGGGTGCTTCCGGGTAGTACCAGAAACAACTACCTTTGGGGGCAAAATGGTGCAGCCCTTTATCAGGATCTCTTGTAATTATATAGTTTCAGTGGTGGCATGAGCAATTTATTGTTTCATGCCTTCCGCGATTGCCAAACAGTAGTGACATTGCAACTATTTGCTTTTTGATAGGTTGGGCTGGGTTTGGTTGCTTTGTTTGTTTCATTGAGGGTTGGAAGTTTATAGGACAATCCTGTTTAGGCTGCGGCATTTGTGGCTTTGTGCGGGTCTGAGCCTTCACGCAAAGCCCTGGCAGGTGTCAATCTGGCGACTTCGTTACATCGCATCGCTCGCCACAGCAGCGAGGAAGCTTGTTTGCACAGGTTTAAACACAGGTTTGCACAGGTTTGCACATTTGCACCTGCTCCACTTGGCGATGCGTCGCTGATAAGTTGCAGTGTGAGGGGATGCATTTAGAAACTTTGTTTGGCTCTCAGACGCATACCAGGTATTGTAATGTATTGCATATATTGGAGCCCTCGAATGTTCAGGATCCTTCGCAGAAGATGCAGATTCAGTCTCACCCAGGCCATCAAATGGTGCAGAGACTGGTGACAGTCACTGGTGACAGTCACTGGTGACATTTGTTCACTTTCTTTCACTTTCATTCTTCATCCATCGGGGACACGCTGAGTTCGGTGCCGCCAGGTTTTGCTCCAGTCATGAAGGCGATAGAAAGGAGCCGCAGTTTGCTTGTCATGTGGGATGAGCACAAAGATCAGAAAAGGTCATGTCTGCACAAGCAAACTATTGACATTGCTTGTTACTATTGACTCCTTGATTTGATTTGCATACAGTCACACACACACATGCACACATATACATCTGATATAATGCAATATCACATAATATGCATAGATATATTTGCCTTCAATGCACATTATATACATAATTATACATATATGTATGTATGTAATGTAAAGTAATGTAATGCTATGCTATGCAATGTTATGTTACGTTATGTTATGTTATGTATGTATGTATGTGTGTGTGTGTGTGTGCAAAAGTACATCTTCGAAATTTGCACCAAGTTGTTGTAGCTTGCGTTGGGAGCTGCCCCTCTTTCCAGCTCCTGGTCTTGAGGAAAGCCCGTTGGGCAGTTGAATCTGGGCAAGACAGCAACTCCAAGGAAGCACAATCCGGTGGGTTTCCGGCACAATGTGCCAGCATTGTGGCTTGGTCTTGCGCGACGTTTCTTGGGCACAATTTGGACCGACGCTGTGGGGGTTCATCGGCGTTCTGAATTCCACTGACCACTCCTGTATGTGCAAAGTCATAGATACAGATACAGCTTGGGTCTTGGCAGCCAAGGTTGTCAGTTGGAAACTCAGCCAGCTCAGCCTACTTAGATACAAGACCCAAGAAGATGCAACTTCTGGTTTTCTTCAGCGTTCCTGGCGTACCCGAAACATTCCCGAGCGCTGAAGATGTGGATGTCTAAGTCTAAGGTCCGTGACGATGCACTCTTTAGCATTTTGGCGGAGCTTGCTGGACCACGCTTACATGAGCTAAAGCCCTACGAGGCCATCTGTTGGCCATGCTGCAACAGTTTACATTTCGTGCCATTGGCGTTGGACCGGGCTGACTGGGCTTGCAGGTCACCAATCTGGTCTGGGCTTTTGCGAAGCTCTCGGTCCGCAGTGCGGCGCTTTTCCAGCTTCTCGGCCTAAGTTCTCACTGTGAGCCCATTGAGCCCGCCAACTGACAATGCGGGCATTGCGGCATGCCTGTTGGTGCTCTTCTGGTGCGTCTCTTGAAATTATCATAGTAATTATTCCAAATGCAGCTTAGCTTGGATCTTGTCTTATCTTGCTTTGCCACATTTTACCACTGTTAGTTTTGTTCTGTTTTTCCGCTCTCCTTTGTTGAGATTTATGGTGGGCCTTGCCAAGTTGCAACTACAGCACGGTTGCATATTTGAGGAGTGTGGCCCAGATGCTCCAATGTCGTCGTCGAGGGGAGTACAAGGCCATTCACCTTCAGATTTAGGGTCCATTTTGCCATGCTTTATCTCCAAATGGAAGGTATGTCATACTCCATACTCCCTGCTCCCTGTATCGGCTGGTGGGAAACATTCTCGAGGAATGTTCCAACGCCAGGATGTGTTGTTTGCAGTTGATTTGGCTCGAGGATCTCAGGGATCCCATGCCCCCGGGGCTGTGCCCGCTTGGGGCGGATGGATGACGACAGCCGACCAGTGGCGGTGTTGGTGCGGACAGATGGTGCTCCCAAGACGGTGCCACCCCTGATAGCTTTCAGTCATCCAAACTCTTCAGTGTCAGTTGGAAGAGCTGAGAACAATCAGATTCCATTGAATGACAAGAAGATTTCAAAGAACCATGCCATGCTCACATTGCGCGCCTGTAAGCTGAAGGGTGCACAAGATGGAGAGGTCATGCGCAGGGTTTTCATCAAGGATTCATCCACCTTTGGCACTTTCGTGAATGGAAAGCCACTCAAGAAAGGGGAATGGTCCATTCTGCAGGAAGGTGATGCAATCGGTCTCCGAAATCCACATGGCAACCCATCCAATGGTGAGTACCGTGTGGCCTACCAAGATGCCATGGCACTCGTGAAGGGTGCCTTGGAACGCGGTGAGGTACCTGTGAAAGCAGTCCAGGCTTCAGAGCCCGTGGCTTCCAAGTCCAAGCTCCTGCCCAAAGAATTTCAACCGGCGCCAAGGGCTCAGCCGACCCGTGTGAAGACGGAACTCCCCGACGAAGCCATGGAAGGCTCCAAGCTGCCCCCAGTGGGTGCCAGTGCTGTCAAAGCAGAGCCAGATGAAGCTGGGAGTCCTTTGAGCGAGGTCTCTGGGGAGCCGAAGGAGCCGAAGCCTTCGGCTCCGTTGGCTCCGACCAAGGCAGAGCCACAGGAGGAGTTCATGAGCCCCTTATCGGAAGTCAGCGAAGTGTCAGCTCCAGATGACGATGAGAAGCCAGAGGCCAATGCAGTGCCAGGAGCCATGCCAGGAATACCTGGGATGCCCGCTCCTTTGATGATGATGCCTGGCATGGGATTGGTACCTGGCATGCCTTTTGGTCTACCAGGCCTCGTCCCAGGAGCACCTGGTTTTCGCTTGGCCCCACCAGGCTTCCAACCATCGGCGCCATCAGGGCCAGTACCCAATGCAGCTTTGCCTGGTTCCAAAACAGCCCAAGACGCAAAGGCAACATCCATGGCCGTGGCTGCCAAACCAGTAGTGATGACCATTGCTGCTGAGTTTGTCGGTATGCTCATTGGACGAGGTGGAGAGGTGGTGAAGCAGCTGTCAACGGAAGCTTGCTCATTGAATGTCATACTTGAATGCACAAGACCTTTCCGTGGATTCTTTTTCTATTTTGATATTTTTGTCTTGAAACTGGGGGGAGGGTGATGGCAGCGAGGGTAGGAAAGCACGTTCTATCACTGTATGGGCAATTTGTTTGCCCCAAATATGATGAGTGTTCCTGGAGTCAGCCCATGTCAGCCCACAGGAAAGCGGAGCCCGCATCGAAATCTCCAAGACAGAGAACGAAGGTGGCAAAGCTGGAGAACGAACGGTTTACATCAGTGGTTTGCAGGACAAGGGTACGCCGGTATGCCAGGTGTGGTTTGCAGGTTTCCGCGGCCCATTAAATCATTAAGCCCTACAACTCACAGGTTCTGCAAACTGATGGGGTGGGAGCAAACCACGCTTCAAATGCAGAAACCACCAGAAACCTTGTTGCAGGACTGCGTTGACAAGGCCAAAAAGCTCATTGATGATGCCATTGAAAAGGCCAAGGAGCGCACAGGTCAAGCCAATCCAAATGCATGCAGTGTCAAAGTGCCGTATGAGCTCATTGGGATGGTCATTGGACGAGGTGGAGAGACCATCAAGGACTGCCCTCTTGGTGATTTTGTTTTGTCATTTGACACCTCCAACAGCTATGTCCAGCTATGTTGGGCTATTTGCAACACGGGTACATCCATGCATAGCCACATGATATGACTTGAAGTGAATCACATTATGTCATTCTATAATTGATTCCCTAGAGAAAATGGCAAATGAAACTGTCTGAACCAAATATATACGAAATGCCATCGTCCTGAAAAAAAAATAAATACGATCTTCCATGTATGAGCAAATATGGCACCACAAAATTATCGAAGGAAGTTTAGAAGTCAAATTCCGACAATATGGACAGATGAAAAGCAGAGATGGGAAGAGTTGCAGAGATGGGAAGAGTCAGAGAAGAGAAGAGAAGAAGAAAGAGAAAGTCTCAGAAGAAAGAAGATCCAGGTGCGCGAAAAGGTAGGAAAGTCGCGAAACACTGTGTTTTTCCAATGATTTGTGGGTGTGGAGGGTCTAAAAGTAGGCTCGCTAAAGCGGCGGGTGCGGAGCCCGCTGGGCAGATGAGAGATGAACAATTGCACGCCGTTGTGGCGCGAAGCACATTTCGAAGTCAAAATGTTAAAAACACCACATGTTCGGACCACTTTTGGAAGTTGAGGTGTCGAAAAAGTGCACGCCGTTGTGGCGGGAAGCACATTTCGAAGTCAAAATGTTAAAAGCACCACATGTTCGGACCACTTTTGGAAGTTGAGATGTCGAAAAAGTGCACGCCGTTGTGCCGGGAAGCACATTTCGAAGTCAAAATGTTAAAAGCACCACATGTTCGGACTATTTTTGGAAGTTGAGATGTCGAAAAAGTGCACGCCGTTGTGGCACGAAGCACATTTCGAAGTCAAAAGTGTAAATACTGACGGGTTCAGAGCACTTTTGGAAGTTGAGATGTCGAAAAAGTGTACGCCGTTGTGGCGCGAAGCACATTTCGAAGTCAAAATGTTAAAAACACCACATGTTCGGACCACTTTTGGACGTTCAGATGTCGTTTTGCCTGGCAGGCGCAAGGGATTGTGCACCTTGTGAGCAAAACGTGTGAGGGTTTTGTAGCATTTCCAAAAACGATGGCAGGCGTGGGACATTTGAAGAGGATCCGCAAATATGCATTTTCCGTGCCAAGCGCAGTACAAGAGCAATGTTCACCAGAGCTGCCAGGAGGTCCGGGCGCTGATTTCCTGAGAGGGGTTGCATTTTGGAGCATCAGATCTTCAGGTTTGCTGAGATGATTTTGGGTGACAGGTGCAGCACTTCGTATGACCCGGTACCACTCTCTCGTGGCAGGTGCAGTAGTTTAGACAGGTGGAGGCGAAAAATCGCAAAACGCATTGGTACGAGGCCGGCAGCTCTGCACTCAACTTCCATTTTTGAAGGAAGTCTCGCAGAATTGCTTCGTTTTTGATGTTGTTAACTTAAAAAAAGGAGGAAGTCTCGCAGACTTGCTTCGTTTTTGACGTTGTCAAGTGCAAAAATTGAGGAACTCTCGCTCAATTGCTGCATTTTTGATGTTGTCAAGTTCGAAAACTGAGGAAACAGATAGATAGAGAAACAACTACAATAACTACAACTGCAATTACAATTGCAAGTACCACTACGCTACAATACTACAGCAACTACAAGTACAAATATACTACGCTACATTACACAACACTAATTACACTACGCTACACCAATTACATGTATATAACCACGCTACGCTACACAAATTACACTACAACTACTACAACAGCAACTACTACAACAGCAACTACTACAACAGCAACAACAACAACAACTACTACTACTACTGCTACTACTACCACCACTGCCACCACCACCGCCACCAGCACCACCACCACAGCTACAACTACAATTACAGCTACACTACATTATATACACTACAATGCACTAGTTAATCTGCAGCACATTACAGCTACAAATACAACCACAACTACAACTACACTACATTACACAACACCACACTACACTAATTACATTACATTACGCTACAACTGCAACTACCACTACATTGCACTACACGGCGCTACACTACAACTACAACTACACTACTTTATTTACACTACAGTACACTAGACTAGACTACACTACACTATGCCACGCTGCAGTACACAACACTACAGTACATTACAATACATTAGACTAATTACACCACACCACAACTACAACTGCAAGTGCAACTACGCTACACTAGTTACACTACACTACAACTACAACTTAAAAACTACAATTCCACTACGCTACAGCTACAACCACACCTACAACTACAACTACAACTGCGCTACACCACACTACCTCCAGCAGTTGTGGTGAGGTGACCACTGCAACCATTGCAGCCACTCCAGAAAACACAACTCCAACCACCTTCCGGTCCATCAGTGGATTCGCTCTGCCATCCGTGATTCACAACAACCAACCTCTCCTATAGGTTTCCTATTTTTGAAACTTCCGCCACCGCCTTGCGCGGTACTATATACTGATAATTTTCATATTATTTCACTAAAACAATGCACATAAAATCGTCATAAGTCATATGTATGAAAAACATATGAAACTTTGGTGGAAAATATTAACATTCTAGGAAACGCATATGAACCATTTATGAAGCACGTATAAACACTTTATGAAACAAATATGCATGAAATTGTCAAACCACAAACAACACATAAATCGATTTCATAATGAACAACATTTCATACCATTTTTCTTTTTTTTTCCATATCCGTTTGCCATATTTATTATTTTCATAATTTTTAGTATTGTTTTCACAAAAGGCATTTTTTCTCGGGGCAATCTCATCTCTCAATTCTATGATGATACAAATTGCTACGATATGCCTTGCTTTGCTATGCTGTGCTCTATGACTTCACCTCTCCTTGCATACATTGACATTTTCACATAGATGCATGCACCAGCTCCAGGGCGAACAATCCGATGCAATGAAAACATAACATGCAGAAAATCCTTTGCGCTGTGACTGAGGAGTTGAAGAAGGAGAGTGGAGCGCGAATAGATATCAGCAAAGAACCAGATGAAGAGGGATCACAAGATCGCCATGTCAACATCACCGGGCCACCTGAGTGTGTTGAATATGCCAAAAAGATGGTGGAGGAACTGCTTGGGAAGTCCAAGCAAGGTCTGAGGGTGAAGACGGAAGAGGATGACAACGGCAATGGAAGTGTTGCCGGAGGGCGTGTTATCAAAGTTCCGCTCCAAAGTATTGGTGTATTGATTGGCAAAGGTGGCGAGACAATCTCAAAGATTCAGAAAGACTCCCATGCGAGAATCGAAATCAGTAGGGATGACAAGGACGGCAGGGAGCGCAGTGTCACCATTACAGGCAGTGGAGAAGCGATAGAAAAGGCCATCCGCGCCATTGATGATGTTCTCGATGCTGCAGAGCGATCTGGGAAAGGATCGAGACGGAGAAAAGGTGATGATGCCGGAGCCTTGGTGCCACTAAATCGCAAGCCTTCTCCCGTGAAAGACAGCTGGGTAGCTGAAAAGGTGTACATCGATGAAGTGGAGATGCCATATCGACCTAACTACGTGCCCGAGCATGAGGATGGGTTGCCCACTGACCTAGAAATTTTTGTGAAAGGTCTTCCAATGGTCTGTGCCGAGCGCGAGCTTTGGGAGCATCTCTATAGGCTTGGGGCGACAGATGTGAAAGAGATCCTGCTGTTGCGGAGGCAGAAACAGTCGAAGGGAATGGCATATGTGGTCTTCAATCGGCATGAGCACGCCATTCTTGCAAAGAACAAGCTGCAGGGAATGCCAGCATCATCAATCCCGTGTGGAGAATCAGCTGAGCAGGAGCAGCAATCACTTCAAGTCCGCTTTTCGGAGTCTGAGCGCTGCATCAATGGTCGCAACAACGTCTATGGTGCCGACATGCCTGTCCTGCTGATGGGTCCTCGTGGCCGGGCCATGCTTGAGGTGAAGGAAGGGTCAGGACTGAGGAAGGTGACGCTCACAGGACGGAGCATGAAAACCTTTGGTCAGGTGGATGAAGATCCGCGGATGCATTTGGTGGTTTACTACGAGGCAGATGAAGTGGACACTGTTTCCAAGGCATTGGAGGTATGGGGAAAGCAACTCGGAGAGATTCATCGAGAGATCGTCGAGCGGAGTAAGGGCAAGGGAAAGGGCAAAGGTTGGCCTTGGATGCCGCCACCATACTTTGATGGCCGGCCGCCCTATGGACCAATGCCCTACCCGCGCCCCCATGGAGCACCACCGTATGGCCCCATGCCGCACATGCCTCCACACATGCACCTGCCCCCTGAGCCTGTGGTGGAGGCCCCAGTGCTGTTGACACGGAGGAGGCTGGGGGAGCATGGGCATGCTGAGCTGAGTGGTGATAAAGTAGTAGAGGTGACCAGCTTGCGTGGTCGAGAACTGAGATGGCAGCCTTGGCCAGATGTCAGCAAGTTCAATGGCGAGTGGAAAGTAATTCCATTGAGATGGGGTTTACGTGGTGAGCTCTTTGTTCTTCTTCGGCATCGCACCTCTGGAGAGACGAAGGTTTGTGCAGCTGAGGTCGAGAAAAGCTTAGAGAAGTGGCCGGTGCTACACTCGAACTCGGCATCCTCATCTTTTGCCAAGTATAAGTCCTTCACCTTCAACGAGCATCTCTTTGTGATTTCCATCGATCGAGGGTCTGGCGCTTTGAAAGTTTTCCACGTGCCTGACCCCAGTTCACCCTGGAATGTCGCATTTGAGACAACATTACCCGAAGATCCAAAAGGGAACCGCGACTTCCCCCTGAGTCGCTTTGCCAAGCTATGCGTGTTTTACGGCGTGGATCGGATACTTGCCTGCTGCAATTGAATTTTGTAAGTTTTTTTCTTGGGGGTTTTCCTAAGGGTCTGAGGTTTTGTGGTGTATTTTTGGAACGTTGGTTCAGGGTTGGCACACATGCGTGGTGTCACCTGTTCGGAGTTGTTCCGGCAAAGTTCAAAACAGGGATGTGTGAGATGAAAATTTTCGGATTGAAATTTGTAGTGTATCTTGGGACGTAGGTTCAGGATGGGTTGGCACACATGCGTGGTGTAATATGGAGAGCTGCTCTGGCAAAGTTCAAAACAGGGATGTGCGAGATGAAAATCTTAGGGTTTGAGGTTTTGTGGTGTGTCTTTGCAATATTGGTTCAGAGTTGGCACACATGCGAGGTGTAATCTGTTCCGGCAAAGTTCAAAATAGGGATGTGTGAGGTGAAAAAATTCGGATTGAAGTTTGTAGTGTGTCTTGGGACGTTGGTTCAGGATGGGTTGGCACACATGCGTGGAAAACAGGGATGTGTGAGATGAATTTTTTCGGATCTGAAGTTTGTAGTGTGTCTTGGGACGTTGGTTCAGGATGGGTTTGCTCACGGTACACTCTTGGAGTCTCTATTCGATGCTGATGGGATTGATTGATGTGGTGGTTGTTTGACTTTAGTGGCATATTAAGATACGGACCACTTCGGAATCTCCTAGCCTACTTGGAGAAAGCGTTTCCGAGTATTTACATGCCAACAAGGCATCAGTTGAAAAGCTTTGGCGGGCACAGAAGCTGGGTGGGATGAAAAGGGTGTGGTTGACCGTTCTCTGCGGGAAGTTTTGATTTTATAGTTTAAGTTTTTTTTTGAACATACGCTGAGCACTGCTGTTTTCATCTCTTGTGCCATTTTTATTTTTAATTTTCAACATACCCCAGAGACACTGAGTTTACTCTTTTGTACCTTGATTTTTCATTTTCAGAAATAGGGGTGGGGTCGGCCTTTCATCGTTTCACTTTTTTTTTGCTCATACCTTGGCCCTCCAGGTTTTTAAACTAGGTGTTTGGGATGAAAACCTGGTGCTGCACCCTAAGTTGAACGCCCAACGGGGATATTTGTGTGTGTCATCCTTGAAAAAACGGACATCTCACCACAGAAACAATAACAATAATCCCTTTCATCCCTGTCATATCCTTTCATTAGAGACCAATGTGCGGTCTTTTTTCGTCAGTGTCAATTCACATCGTCACTCAGGATACCTTCTGTGGTAGCAGTGGAGCCGAACGGCAATGAACGCACAACCACCATTTTCCGCATCACCGATCCGGGAAAAGCCTGGAAGCCTTGCTCTGAAGCACCCATGCTGCCGCAGAAGGTGCGGCTTTTGATGGTGTACACAAAGGCGAGGGCACCTGGTCCAACGAACTTCGAAGCATGTCTTTTGGCGGTCGATACCAGTGGTGAGATGAAGGTGTTCCACGTTCCTTCGGATCTGGACCAACCTTGGGTGTTGATCTCAACCCTGCCATTTGCTGGCGATACTCGTCTTAGCTGCATCTACGTGCCCGGAAAGCCTGAGCCGTTGCTGATGGTTGGCAGCCCCACTGAAAAGAAACAGAAGCTATGTCATCTCAATTTGATGGAATGGCGGCTAGTAAAGGAGGATGACAGAAGACCACCACCTAAAGCACCAGTGCTGGAAGAAAAGTTTAGCCGTCCAATGTCCTCCCTCTGGCCAGGAAATGCCAGAGAGGGGTGTGATCCAGAAACTGTGGTGGCCTTGCCAGTTGATTGTACTGCAGACTTGCCAGTTAGTCGACATAGTTGGGTCACTACACCCATCATACCACCAGGTGCCGACTACCGTCCAGGTGCACCTGGATTTGATGGTCGTCCTTCCAGGCCACCCTTTGACTACCCTGGGCCTCCTGGCTCTGGCCCTCCACCTCCAAGGCCACCCTTTCAGGCACTGGCCGGTCCGCCGGGCTTTGAGCCGAGGCCTGATGCTCCACCGGCTCCAGCAGGACCAGATCTAGATCTAGGTCCCCCACCGGGAGACCTCAGTCGACCGGAAGCCGCACCGCCCGAACGACATCGGCGACGTCGGCATCGCCACAGGAGAGGAGAAGAAGGCGACGGTGAAGGTCATGAAGGTCGGAAACGTCGCAGAGCTGAAAAGGCCGAACAGAATCATTATATAGAAACTGACCCCGGCTCCGCTGTGCAGAAAAGGTCAGGGGATAGTGGTGTTTGGCTTGTTGTCATACACAGAGCCCCGGAGGAGTGGGCAGAACGCAACGCTGCGTGTCAGAAGACTGTCAAAATATAACCGCAAGACATCATCATAGCCGAATAATAGCGTGTAGATGATCCTGGGCCCAGCAAGCCTCGCAAGCCCCGCAAGGCCCAATGCTTGGCAGCAGCTGCATGGTCGTTTGCCAAATCCTCAGCGATACCCAGGAGCACATTGGCTGTCATTGCGTTTTGCAGCTGGGAAGGTCAGTTTTGCGATTTCAGATGCAAACTGAATGCGTTTGGGATTGTCATGGGCATCTTTGGGTTTGAACCTGAGGGTGTCATACCTGATGAACAGGTGTGGGAATAAAGAGCCCAGAGATGGACAGACAAATGGCTCTTGCTATTTTGGTTCCACTGATGTTTCTTGCTGCTGTGGAACTACCCCGGGCGCCTTTCATATCTGCTTTCCAACTTCACTGGTAGATCGGTAGATGTTCAAAAGCACTGGTCCTCACCTCTCACAGGGGAGCTCCAACAGGAGCACGCAGAACCAGCTGTTCAAGAGCATAGGCGACGAGATTTTGCCGCAGGTGAACTCTCTGAAACCCCAAGAAGTCGCCAATGTGGTTACTTGGCAAACGATATCTTCCGGCAACATGCTCTTTGTTTGAAAACTGTGAGCTGTGGTGTTTTCAAGGTGTGGTCATTTGGCCAGATGAAGATCAAGCACCAGCGGCTATGCGAGGAGACTTTCCAAAAGATGGCATGTTAGATTAGATGCTCATCACGAAAGGTAGCTCCAGAGGGGCTACCTTGAGTTTTACTTTACGAAGTAAAGGGGAGGGCGGCCAGCCCCGTTACCTGATTATTCAGGAGATTGCTAGTCATTTTAGTACCCCCCCTCCACCCCCCCCCTCCACGCCTCCCACGCACCCTAAGAGCAGACTCAAAACATTGTAATTTACAGTATTTTTGTTCTTTTCGGATCAAGAAACCACATTTTGTTATATGGTGAAACATCCGTAAATACCAATGTTTTTGCTAGGTGCTGGCCAAAAACCACTGTAAATACCGTGCTTTTTGCTACCAGAGGCAAAAAACATCGTAAATACCGTGGTTTTGGGCTTCCGATCCGCCCAACGCATTGGTATTTACGGTGTTTTTTGCTCCGAGAGTTCCAAAAACGCGCGAAAACACTACCTATTTGACGATTTTCGGCCACTACGGAACCGAGACAAAAAGCTGCAGGGGTAACACCAACCCCAACAGCACCACCACCTCTACTCTACCACCACCATGAACAAGAAGAAGAACAAGAAGAAGAACAAGAACAAGAACAAGAACAACAACAACAAGAACAAGAAGAAGAAGAACAAGAAGAACAAGAAGAACAAGAAGAACAAGAAGAACAAGAAGAACAAGAAGAACAAGAAGAACAAGAAGAACAAGAAGAACAAGAAGAACAAGAAGAAGAAGAAGAAGAACAACGACAACAACAACAACGACCAGAACGACAACAACAACAACAGCAAGAGTGAACAGCAACAGCGACAGCAAGAACAGCAAGAACAGCAAGAACAACACCAAGAACAACACCAAGAACAACACCAACACCAACACCAACACCAACACCAACAACAACAACAACAACGACAACGACAACGACAACGACAACGACAACGACAACGACAACGACAACGACAACGACAACGACAACGACAACGACAACGACAACAACAACAACAACAGCAACCAGAACAACAACAACAGCTGCAGGGGTAATACCAACACGACCACCAAGACCCACATCAACAGCAACAACAACAACAGCAACAACAATAACAACAAAAACAACAAGAACAACACCAACAACACCACCAACAATAACAACAACAACAACAATAACAACAACAACAGCAACAACAACAACAACAACAACCACAACAACAAGAACAACAACAACAACGACAACAACAGGACCAGCAACAACAACAACAGCAACAACAACAACAACAACAGCAACAGCAACAGCAACAGCAACAGCAACAGCAACAATAACAACAGCAACAATAACAACAACACCAACAACACCAACAGCAACAACAACAACAAGAACAATAATAAGAACATCAACCAGAACTACAACAACAACAACAATCAACAACAACAACAACAACAACAACGACGACAACAACGACAACAACAACAACGACAACGACCAGAACGACAACAACAAGAACAAGAACACGAAAAAGAACAACTGCGGGTGCGAAGGACCAGCTCTTTTCTTCGCTAATGGCTCATGAGCAACTGGTGTGTGTGTGTGTGTGCCAGTGCATACTGCGCGCAGCCTCGGGATCGAAATTTTCGCGCACATTGTCGAGCCAGCCGGCCCGTCAACAAGAAGAACAAGAACACGAACAAGAACCACCACCGCTATAACCACAACCACAATCACAATCACAAGGGCAAGCACGACACCAACGCCAACAACCACAACCACAACCACAACCAGAACAAACAACTACAACAACAACAACGGCAACAACAACAACCACAACAGCAACAACAGCAACAAAAACTACTACAACAGCAACAACATCAATACCAACGACAACAACGTCAACGACACGAACTCCACCTGCACCACCAACACTGCCAACACGACCAACGCCACCACCAAGCCCAACCACACCGCCACAGCCTTTCCGCCCGGCAGCTCTGACGGTCGAGAGAAAATGGCCGCGTCGCTTTTACCTGCCTCCACGTCGTGTTTTTTTTTCCCTTGCCCTCTCCCCTTCATTTTTTCTTCGGTTCCTTTCTTGCTGACCTACCTTTCGTGTTCCCCCTCTGAAGTTTTATGTGTGCGCATGGAAACATCAACCTACATGATTTTGAGCCAGGAGATCGCAAACTTCCTCTCGACGCCTTCAGGGTTTTCTCGATTCAGTGAGTTCGCCTCGCTTATGCCTGATAAAGCCGATGCTTTGTTACCATGTGGCAGCAAACGTGTCACAAAAGAGTGCCATGATTCATGGCCAAGCTGGCCAAATTAGTTCGTTCAGGTTCTTTCGATGCAGAACTGAATTTCATGAGTCGACAGTGTAGAACGAGTGTTTCTTGCAGTGTTTTCCCTCACACACAACCCTGTCCAATAACCACTAGGACACGCAGTGTTTTGGGTAATGCACATGTTTTTGTGCCGTTGTGCCGAATATGTGTCCGCATTTTGCCCACGCACCAGGCACAACGCAGCTCACCAACATTCTCACCGCTTTTGCACAGGCATGGGGCTGGTTTCATCGTTGTCAGTTGTCACCGAAAGTTGCATCCCAAAATTACACAGTCATGGCACTGATACTTTGCAATAAGTAAACCGTAGCAACGCTCCAGATGTGGTCGCGGGCCTTGTGACCCACTGGCGACGTAGTTTGCTCGAAGGTCCACTTCAGGCACTCTGGATCCATTAGCAAGATCTGTGGAGTCATCCTTCGAAACAGCCACAGCCTCACGCCTGAGGAATCGCAACTTGGCGGATCTTGGTGCAAATTGTTTTCTTTGGCTGTCCTGTTGCTGTTTGATGGAAATGCCCATAAACCACGAGCGATTGTTTCGAACTAATGCTTTTCATTAGAATTTGCTTAATTTGCTGTGACAACTATCCTGGCCGCCTTGTAGCTTTCAACGCCATATACCTGTCCATGCACTCTCTATCAGTACAGAGCAGTTGATGCACGCAACTCCCTCTGAGACAAATCAGAATGGCAAGGTCAAGTTTGTTGTGGTCCTTGGCAGAGCTCAATGTGCATGATAGAACGCTCTTGGTGCAGAAGATTTTGGACCTTGCAGAGCTCTTTTGGGGTGTTGGGTATCTACCGGGTCGTAGGGGATGACGCCCTCCGCAACTGCTTGCTTTTTTTGTTTGATTTTGTTCGGCAAGGAGAAAGAAGGCCTGGCTATGAAAGATAGACCTGTTGCATAGGCTGAAACAAGATAGGCTTGGATTTTGCTGCTTTTCTGCTGGAAGGACATGGCAGCTGCAGACATCACCTGCTTCAAGTACGAGGAGAGCTGGGAGTGGTGTTGTAGGCGCAAAGTTGAATGCAACCGTTTGGAGCTGGAACTTTCTCCTGCTCGCTCAGGCTGTAGAGCAGACTCCTTCTTCTGTCAGAACCCTCCCTTCTCCGCTTCCTCGTTCGCTACAACACTTCTGGTCAAGACCGCATCCCCAAAATCCAGATTCCAAACTCCAATTTTTCAATTCCAGACTCCTCTCCGGACGAGAGCATCTGATTCCAACTCTATACTTGGGCCAAAATTTGCACGAGAATCCCAGATTACAGAAATGTGATGCCGTCACAGCACAACAGCATCGAGCTCTGCTTCTGTAAAGATACAGCATTCTCTTCTTTTGCTGCGTTAGATCCAGTCTCCTCAAACTACCTGGATCCACACTTGAGGCTCCGACCTTCACCTGCCTGACTTGTCACCGAAGCCCTAACTTGAAACTCCACACTTTAGTTAATTATTCGAGTAATATTCAAAAAGTATCCAAATCACTCTTTGAGTTTGTTTAGTTTAGAGGCAAATTTCCTGTGATGGTGGAGATGTCGCTGTCATTTTATGCATCCATTGCCCATGTCAAGCATGTGCTGATCATTTTGTGCTGGAGCCTGGGTACAAGATTTGTAGGAGCTCGTGGTTCTGAACACCGCGGCGAAGAAACTCAGCCCTTACCATCAAAGCTTCTTCGATGTTTGTGAGGAGCGAAGTGTGGACTGTTTGGAGGGCCTGTTTGGAGCGTCAAGCCACTAGTTGAGCGCCGCATGCCGTTGATCTCTGCGAGGCAGCTCTGGGTACGTTGGATGGCTGAGACGTGAGAGTCGCGAGAGTGTTCCGAATTACAACTTTTTGGTGCGTGGAGCTGTGGCCCATGCCGCCCAGAAATTAATTCTAAGATTTCGAGAGGTGTGGCACAGTGAAACAACATAAAGGTAAACCAGTTTTGAAGAGACTGCTCAGGACAAGTGAGTCAATCCCAAGTTTGATCAGATCAATTGATCAGCTCACTGAGTTTATTTCACTGTGTCTCACACTGGTTGGACTTTTATGGCAAGCTCTCCTCCCGGTTGCCGCCGCTGCAGCTTCTCACGTGGTGGTAGCAGCTTGCCCAGCAGCCAAAGCAGTGTGTAGGATGTCATTGATATCACAACCAGCACCAAACAGCGACCCTCTTGATGGACTGTTGCCAGAAACGGTCTTATTCGGCTATACTGCAGCTAAAAGCCTCGCTTGTCCTTCAACCCTGCACTGGCTGCACAATCCTAATCCCCAGATTGACCCAGATTTGTCGAACACCCAGGCCAGCCTGTAGTAGTGATTTCTCCCTTCAGCTTGATTTCCGCGTGGCTTTCTTTCTCGCCAGAGCAGAGTGTTCCCAATGAATACGTTAGTGACTAACGGCAACCGATAGTCATTCTGACTTTGCGGAAAGCAAGCACCTGCGTGTGCCAGGTAGGGTGGCAGATCGCTCAAATATTTCAGGCTTAGCCTGAAATAAATGAAGGCAGATTGAAACAGCTTTGCGCCTTGGATGTTTCGCCTAGAACGCCCAAAAAAGTGTGGAATATTGTGGAATGCAAGACGCAATGCTTGTAGCTGTACTGGCATGCCAGTTGAAACTCTGACCGCACCAAACTCGTATATACTTCTGCAAATGCCAGTGCCGCTTTGGTGTTCTTGATGAACACCTGTATATAGTTTCAGTGGACAACGCTCCACACTCTGTTTGCACTTAGATGTACTAGTCTTCGATCCACTTTGTGCGTCAAGGGTGGTCGAAATTACGCATAGGCATGGGTCATTTTGATCTGCATTGATCTGTTTCCTCTATTTGTTTCCTGATTTCTTGCGGAAGCTCCTGCACCTACTGGAGCCGACTTGACGACGAAGTGCAGGATGATCGAAGGAATTAGCCTGGAAGACTGTTCATCGGCACAGTTGTGAGCCGCGTTCCAGGCTGAAGAAGATCAGACATGATCAGACGAATGTCGCAGAATGTCTCTCTTGAAAGAGGTTGCAGAAAGAAAGAGGCTGATGAAGGAGCTGATGCTTTGCTTTACTTAGCATGCACTGGTCAGATAGATGTTGTTTGTTGATAGCGTTTCAAGTATTATTCTCTGTTTGGGTCAATTGTATTCCGACATGTTTGACCTGCCATCACAAGCAGACGAAAGGCTGCAAGCTGCCACCAAAATTCGTCCCTTGAGGCAGGGGGTGCAAGTCATGGAGCCCAAGAAGGCGGTGACGGGTGTGGCGAAGCTGATGGGTCCCAAGCTGTTGTGACCGGTTTGGTTCGAGTTCAGGATTCTGAGTGTCCTGTCCGCAAAAACAGAGCTCAAGCTGCTTCCTTACCAACATTTTGGATTCAGGGTTTTTTGTTTGCTGTGTGCTATTTGCTGATGCCGAAAGTCAGGATGTGTTTGCAGCCGAATTCCTACCTGAACAAGTCACATCCACCCTGCTGCTTTCCAGGCTGCTTTGACCGTGGTATATCAGCCCATGAAGTCCGCTTCTTAGCGGGGTTCAGCTGCTGTGCCAGCTGGAGTCTAGAGTCCAGAGCGCGAAAAGCCACGTGCCTTTGAGCAGCTTTCCAGAATGGCAATATCATAGAATTTGTATGAATTTGTCAATTTGTCATGCAATAATAAGGTGACACTCGAATTAGATTTGCAAACATATGGAGTTGTTTGTTTATCTACAGGCATCCTTGGAGACAAGTGTCTGACGGCAGTTGTTTTTCCCAAAAACATCTCCAATGCTTGGGTTCTCGTTTAGTTGACTCTGCTCCGAGGGAACGATACGGAAGCGACCAGAGGGTGGACAGAGGGAAAACCGTGGGAAATAGCTTGAGCTCCGTTGGGAAGGAGCGAGATGGAAGCGACAACAGGGTGGGAAATAGCTTGGGGAGAGCTCCGTTGGGGCGCAGTCCAAGAATAAAACGTTTAATTCAGTCAGATTCGATTCGGGGGTTAGGCGCTGATTTCATAGAAGGACAGTGGTGTATCCTGGTCCCGCACCTTCATGTCATAGGAACTTGCATCTTCCACGCAAGCATCCTATAAAATGAATAGTTTGCACTACCTCAACCGGTTTTGCATGGGTGGGGACGGACGGGAAACTGTGGGAAATAGCTTGGGGAGAGCTATGTTGGGAAGGAGCCGAGGTGCACGGACGGGAAGCCATGGGAAATAGTGTGGGGAGAGCTGGGAAGGAGCGAGATGGAAGTGACGACAGGGTGGACGGAGGGGAAAGCTTGAGGTGGATAGACTGGGGAATACTGTACTGGGGAGAGCTGCGTTGGGAGGGAGCGAGATGGAAGCGTCGACATAGTGCACGCACGGGAAACTCTAAAAATAGCTCGGGGAGAGGTCCGTTGGGAGGAAGCGACATACTGAGAAAGCAGAGCTGTTGGCACGGGTTTTCAAGACAAATTCCATCAATGCGATTTTTCCGAAAAACTATGTGCCCAAGACTTTTCAAGTGGTATGCAAAGGTTGTGCGATGGGACATGCGTAGCTTCGTTGGCAGGGAGCGACGCTAAAAATGCACAGCTGTTGGCATGGCTTTCAGGACAAATTTCATCAATACGATTGTTCCGAAAAAGTGTGTGCCCAAGACCTGCCAAAGTTTCCAAACCCTGGGCCATGGGACATGCATAGCTTCCTTGGCAGGGAGCGAGATTAAAAGAGCAGAGCTGTTGGCACGGATCTTTTAAAGGACAAATTCCATCAATGCGATTGTCCCGAAAAATTGGTGCCAAAGACTTCTCAAACGGTGTCTAAACGCTGGGCAAAGGGATGTGCCGGACATGCACAGGATAAAGTTCTTTGCTGGAGGGGTTTTCATTTTGCTCGGCGTTCTGTCCGTCGATGCTTGGTTTTCGTTCCCCGTGAACGGACAAGTGGGGAAATAGCTTGGGAAGAGCTCTGCTGGGAGGGAGTGGCACTAAAAATGCGGAGCTGTTGACACGAGTTTTACACAGAGGAGCTTTACACAGAAGAGCTTTACACGGAGGATCTTTTACACAGAGAAACTTTTACACAGGAAAGGTTTTTACACAGAGAAATCTTTACACAAAGAAGTCTTGAGACAGAGAAGCTTGCACACACAGAGGCTTTTACACAGAGAAGCCTTTTACACAGAGCAGCTTTTCACAGAGAAGTCTTTATACAGAGTAGTCTTGACACGGAGAAGCTTGCACACACACACAGAGGCTTTTACACAGAGAAGTCTTTTACACAGAGCAGCTTTTACACAGAGTAGCTTTTACATGGACAAGCTTGTGCACGCAGAGGCTTTGACACAAAGAAACTTTTGCACGGAGCCGCTTTTACACGCAGAAACTTTTATATACACACACAGAGGAGCTTTACACATAGAAGCCTTTAAACACAGAAACTTTTACACGGGAAAGCCTTTACACAGAGAAGCTCTTATACACCGAAGTTTTTACACAAAAAACGTGTACACAGAAACTTTTACGCACAGAAGCTTTTACACACAGACACTTTTACACAGAGAAGTCCTTCTTACACAAAGGAGATTTACACAAACCCTTTTACACACAGACGCGTTTACACACAGGAAGTTTTACACACAGAAGCGTTTACGGCGCACTGAAACTTTTACACAGAGCACCTTTTACACGCAGAAGCTTTTACACAAAAGCCTTTACAAAGTACGCAGAGAAATTTTTACACACAGAGGCTTTTTTTGCACAAGGACGCTTTTACACAGGAAAGCTTTTAGACACAGAAGCTTTTACACAGAGAAACTTTTTTCACCGAAAAGTCTTACACAGAGGAGCTTTTACACACAGACGGGTTTGCACAGATAAGTCTTTACACAAGGAGGGGCTACTTTTGCACACAAAGTTTTTACACACAAAAAAGTTTACTCACAGAGGAGCTTTACACACACAGAAGCTTTTACACGCGGAAGCTTTTGCACGGGAAAGCCTTTACACAGAGAAGCTCTTACACACAGAATCTTTACACCCAGAAGTTTTTACACAAATTACTCTACTTCGTGTGACCCCCACCATGACATGTCAGGACGTATATTTGGACATATATTTAGTATATTCTGACATCCTATCTGACATATATTCTGGCATATATTCTGGCATTCTATCTGGCATATATCCTGACATTCCACCTGGCATTCTATCTGGCAGTCTATCTGGCATTCTATCTGACATATTTTCTGACATTTCATCTGACATATATTCTGGCATTCTACCTGTCATCTATTCTGACATATATTCTGCCATTCTATCTGACATATATTCTGGCATATATTCTGGCATTCTATCTGGCATTATATCTGACATATATTTTGGCATTCTATCTGACATATATTCTGGCATATATGTTGGCATTCTATCTGGCATTATATCTGACATATATTCTGACTGACATTCTGGCACTGGCATTCTATCTGGCATCCTCTATCTGGCATTCTATCTGGCATTCTTATCTGACATTCTATCTGCATTATCTGGCATTCTTTCTGGCATTCTTTCTGGCATTCTATCTGGCATTCTATCTGGCATCCTATCTGACATTCTATCTGGCATTCTATCTGGCATCCTATCTGACATTCTATCTGGCATTCTATCTGGCATTCTATCTGGCAGTCTATCTGACATTCCTACATGAGGTCCGGCAGGGAACACTTGGGCGCGGATACTCGTGGTTGAGGTCCGGCAGGGAACACTGGGCGTGGATGGTCGTGGTTGAGGTCCGGCAGGGAACACTGGGCGTGGATGGTCGTGGTTGAGGTCCGGCAGAGAACACTGTGGATCGCGGGTCGCAGTTGGACGAGGACGACGAGGACGACAAGGAGGACGAGGAGGACGAGGAGGAGAGGAGGAGGAGGACGAGGCAGGAGGCAGGAGGAGGCAGGAGGAGGCAACTGACATAAAATCTAACAACCCTCACCTGGCAGGTGGGGAAAAAGCCTTTACACAGAAACTTTGACACACAGACGCGTTTACACAGAGGAATCTTGACACAAGGATGCGTTTACACACAAAAGCCTTTACGCACAAAAGCTTTTTTGCACAGAGTAGCTTTTACACAGAGAAGTCTTTACACAGAGAAGTCTTGACACAGAGAAGCCTGTGCACACAGAGGCTTTTACAGAGAGAAGCCCTTTATACAGAGAAGTCTTGACACAGAGGAGCTTTTACACAGAGAAGTCCTTACACAAAGGAGATTTACACACAGAAGCTTTTACACGCAGACAGACACATTTACACACAGAGGGTTTACAAATAGAGGCTCTAACGGCGCACAGGCTTTTGCAAAGAGCAGCTTTTACAGACAGATGTCACAGAAGCTTTTACACAAAAAAGCCTTTACACAGAGAAGTTTTTATGCACAGAAGCTTTTGCACAAGGAAACTTGTACACAGGAAATCTTTTACACACAGAAGCTTTCACACACAGAAGTTTTTTTTTACACCGAGAAGTCTAACATAGAGGAGCTTTTACGCACAGACGCGTTTGCACAGAGAAGCCTTTACACAGGAGCTTTTGCACACAGAAGCCTTTTACGCACAGAACTTTGCACAGAGTAGCTTGTACACAGAGACGTCTTACACAGAGAAGCTTTTACGCACAGATGCCTTTACATGGAGAAGTCTTTACACAGAGGAGCTTTTACGCACAGACGCGTTTACACAGAGGAGTGTTTGCACAGAGGAGCTTTTGCACAAAGAATCTTGTGTACACAGACGCGTTCACACACAGAAGGTTTTACAAACAGACAACTTTATGGCGCACAGAACTTTTACATAGAGCAGCTTTTGCGGAGCGAAGCTTGTACACACAGCGGGGCTTTTATACACAGAAGCTTTTACAGCAAGAATTTTTGTAGACACAGAAGCTTTTACACACAGAAACTTTTGCACACGGAAGCTTTTACCAAAAAAACCTTTGCAGAGAGGAGCTTTTTACACACAGACGGGTTTACACAGAGTTGTCTTTACACACGTACACACGGAGGCGTTTACACAGGAAACTTTTACACACAGAAACTTTTACACAGAGCAGTTTTTACACAGAGAAATCTTTACACAAAGAATTCTTGAGACAGAGAAGCTTGCATACACAGAGGCTTTTTACACAGAGAAGCCTTTTACACAGAGCAACTTTTTCACAGAGGAGCTTCTGCACAGAGGACCTTTTACACAGAGAAACTTGTACACCCAGAGTCTTTGACACAGAGAAGTCTTTTCCACAGAGAAACTTTTACACACAGAAGCTTTTACACCAAAAAAGCCTTAACACAGAGGAACTTTTACACACAGAAGCTGGTGGGCAAAGAAACTTTCACAAACAACTTTTACACACAGAGGACGTTTTGCACAGAAGCTTTTACACACAGAAGCTTTTACAAAAAAAACCTTTCCACAGAGAAGTTTTTACCTACAGAAGCTTTTACATACAGAAACTTTACACACAGAAGCTTTACACACAGAAACTTTTACACCGAAAAAACCTTTACACCGAGGATTCACCAACTGTCATCTTCATATCTTCGTTTTCATGCTCTTTTGGTCAACCCCCTCCGTCGTTCAGTTTTCATTTCGCACGGTGTTCTGTCCGTCCACGCTTCGTCCTTGCTCCCTCTGCTGCGAAGCAAACTAAACGAGAACCCGGGACTAAATAGCGACTAGAAAGATGGGATACCAGAAGGACGTAGAATGTAGACGTAGCTGACACAGCATGCTGTGGTCTGTGGTGAATTGTGGCCCCTGATGCCATCAGTGCACACGATGTTTCAGTAAAGATCTCACGTCCATTTCGTGCAGAGCACAAAAGACGTGCTGTGCGCCGTCTTGCTTTTGGGTTTTCTGGCCCACCTTGTTTTGTTTGTTGCCCTTACCAGACAGAAGAGAAAGCTGATGTTGAACATCATTTTGCCACGGTGTGTTTGCGCAGGCAGCCTTTGTGGTGGGGACAGGCGGCTTTGCCACAAGAAATGGATCGTCCCACCTATGAGGCTTTCTTGTTGTTCATGTGGTGGCCTGTGCTGTTGGATTCAATCAACTTAACGTTTGTCCAATTAGTTTTTCTCCCGATCACCGGTCTTGGTGCAGGATCTGGGCAGCCACTACCCACGAAACACAACGACCATTGCTGGCAAGGACATCAGTGATGCCGCGTTTTTGCTGTTGGCAGTTCATAAGCCCAGAACAGAGCTTCAGCACAGGAGATGAGTAATTAGGCATCGAAAGGTTTGTGCTTTGATCTTGTGCTGCCATTTCAGTTTCTGAAAGTTGGTTTGAACCAAAAAATCTTGATCGACTAGATGGTGAAATTTCGACATGCCAACACGTGGCCTTTTGCGCAACAAAAATCCAGGTCTTGATTTGCGCCTACTAAGACCACCTCTTCACAGTGAGTCACACTAGCAGATCCAAGTTTCCTCAAATGAGGGCTCATGCCTACGATCGCAGCCATGTTTGGGTTATTTCGCCTTCTCCAAGTCTGGACGCTTCTGTCCACAGCGGCAGGAACTGACTGCACCACTGAAACAAGTGTATGCTATGAGGGGTCAGATTTAGCCATCACTTTGGATGTTAATTCTGTAAGACAAGGCTGTCAAGAAGTTGGCAATGCGGCTGCCTGTTGCAGCTTATGCGCAACATACTGGCCTCAATGCATTTCTTGGCAATACATCATTGAGGGGACGGCTGAGAACGGCTACAACGGCATGAGTTTTTATTGCTGCCTCAAAAGCACATTTCGGCCAAGCCCTTTGTCTGCAGCATATTGTTCATCTGGATATTTTAATCCGCAGTGCACCTTGACTTCAGCGTGCAGCTTTGACATTACAGGCACAAGCCTCACAGACGCATCCACCGTGGCGGTAGAGACAGGCAGCGCCTGTGGGGATGCAGGTTATAGCCTTGAGACATGGGCTGGAATCAGCAACCCAGAAAATGCCACGTCCTATGCCGATCCCACTGCAACCTTTGACCTTGGAACTGCTTCTGGTGGCAACGTGGGTGACTACTTGCTTTGTCATGGCTCTTCCATTGATGCAGATGACTTTCTGGACCAGGTGGGCACCTTTACCATGAAGGGCCCTTCGAGTGGCCAAGCATTTGACTGCACACTGGGAGTGGACTGTATCTTGACACTGGCGGGCTTCAGCCAGTCGGCCTCACCAGCAAACTACCAGGTGGTCATTACTTCTGGGAGCTGTGGCAGTGGACTCACCGCTGCCAGCGCTGCCAGCTTTTCCGGTTCCTTTGAGAACCCCAGAATCGTTTGGGATAACAACGATGACAACTACTACGAGATGAAGACCGGCACTGAAGCTGATACAACCATAACATACTCGGTGTGTTGGGCCGCAAATCCGGCATCCTTAGATGAGTACATTTTCCTGGTGGGCACTTTCACCATGAACGGCCCTACCACAGGGATGTCGCACGCCTGTACTTTGGGCCAGACCTGTGTCATCACCTTGACAGGGGCAGGGTTTACACAAACTCAGGCGGTGTTAGCCGCGGTCGGTGCCAATGGCGTTTGTGCCCTTTTGGTTGATGAATTGGTGGCAGCCTTTGGGGCCAGCTTTATACACCCCACTGTGGCACAGGCCTCTCCATACACCGACTATTCCTTTGGAACTGCCCTGAGTGCTCACAACAATCTGCCCGGTGACGGATACCGTGTGTGTTGGTCATCCTCACCATCATCCACACCACCATTGAAGACCAATGCGGACTATGCCATTGACGCTGGACTCTTCACATTACATGGTCCTGTTCAGAGCAACCATGAGTGTGTCTTGACCCTTCCGTGTGAGATCACCTTGACGGGGTCAGGCTTCAGTCTTGGCTCCCATGGGCTACTGTTGCTGGAAGAGGGGGCCTCCTGTGGCACTACCACAACTGTCGCCGATGCGACAGGGTCCTCGTGGACAAATCCAGCAAATGCGTCTGTTGACACATTTTCATTTGGCACCTCGACGCAGGGTGTCGCCAGCAGCAGTTACATTATTTGTTGGGCTTTTCAGCCCTCCAATCATAGTGACTACAATGTCTATGTGGGAACCTTTCAATTGGGTGGTCCAAATGTTCTGAGTGGTTCTTCCTGCGTCAAGGGAGAAAACTGCATCATCACCTTGACTGGCATTGGCTTCGCCAATACCAACAAGATTTTAGTCATAGACACCAGCAGTTCTTGCGGCGCCTCTGCGGTTGCAGCAACTTTCAGTGCCCAAGCTTGGCATAGAGAGCTGTATTCCAAAGAATCCCAAACGGCCCAAACGGATTTGTGGAGAACCACAGCTGTAAATATAAACAGGTCTTAGTTCATATTATATAGTCATTCAGGACGTTTCCCCCACTTGCTTTCATAACTTGTGTCATAGATTAAGATAATTTACCTATATTGTGGATTATTATTATTGCGAATGCAAATGGCAAATATGAATGGAATTGTTGTTGCCGAGCGATTGAACTCTTCAGACGCCCTCATCCTCCTTTTGCAGGTCCTATGACAGTTGAGACGCTGGTTCAAGATGGTACATTTACAGAATACCAATTTGGCCAGCCGAACACCGGAACTGCACAGTCTGGATACACACTATGTTGGTCCGCCAGTCCAAGCTCCACTGCAGATTTCACACTGACACTGGGCCAAATGTCAGTGACAGGGCCAAATGAACAAAATGTGGCATGTACCTTTGGCCTTTCTTGCGTCCTGCAGCTGGTGGGCTTCCAACTGGAAAGCACAAACAAGATGATTGTGCTTTCTGCCGGGGAGTGTGGCGACAATGCGCCGACACTTTCCTCAGTCACTGGCATGCTGAATGCCATTACCGTCACAAGCCAATCGCCATATGACAGCTACGACCTAGGTACACCTTTGGCCGGACAGCCGCGCACAGACTACAAACTTTGCTGGTCGAGTGCGGCGGCTGACGGTGCAGGTGCTTCGTTCTACAGGGTGCCTACGGGTCTTCTTACGTTGAATGGCCCTGTTCAGGTCTCACAACTTTGTACCATGTCACTGGATTGTGTGATTACTTTGACAGGTGTCGGTCTTCAATCATCCAATCAGCTCCTGCTGATTGATGCTGATGGTTCATGTGGTGATGCAACCCCCTTGACGGCCACCTTTGATGGCTTGACCAACCCGAGTAGCCCTTCTTCTGGTGATGTGGCGGTGTATAACCTGGGCATTGCGCGCACCACATCGGATGGGCCAGGCAGCGGCTACAAGGTATGTTGGGGACACAACGGTGGCGTGGACTACTGGAACATCGAGCTTGGAACCTTCCAAATTGACGGACCAGACGCACAGGGCACACCAGTGACTTGCACCATGGGCTTGAGCTGCAGCATCCAGGTGACTGGCGTAAATCTGGCTGCTACCAACCAGATTGCTGTCACTGCACTATCTGACACTTGTGGGCAGGCAACCTTGAACTTGGCAGTGTTTCCAGGCGCTACCAATCCTGCCACCGCATCTGGAAGCTTTGATACTTTTGAGTTAGGAATTCCTACAGGTGGAGTGCCAGGTGACTACAAGGTTTGCTGGGGCTATTCACCAGCCATACACACGGATTACCATGTACCAGTTGTAACTCTGCGAATGGGTGGGCCTGTTGCAAGGGACAGTGACTGCACTTTGAGTGAGCCTTGCAAGATTGACGTGGAAGGAGTGCGACTAGCACATACCAGCAAGCTCCTCTTCATTTCACAGGCCAGCAGTTGCGGAGATTCTTCTCCGACAGTCATCTCGTGGAGTGGCTTCAACAATCCCGCAAGCACCGACTTGTTGTCGCCACCGGCTGATCCTGGATATGTCTATGCCAACGGGGACCGTTACGACGGAGGGATTGGCTTTGCTGGAGTGCCATCGACTGCCTATAGGGTGTGCTGGGGCTTTGATCCCACAGGTGGATATCAGGACTACAAAGTGACTCTTGGGAACTTTGTTATGAACGGCCCCTTTCAAGGCATGTCTGTTGCATGCATCCTTGGAACCTCTTGCGTTGTGGAGCCTACAGGCGTGGGTTTGAATGACACTAACCAACTTCAAGTGGTGGCAGGTTCTGAGTTGTGTGGCTCTGCCAGCATTGAAGCAGCCACCATTCAGGGGCTCACCAGTCCAATATTGGTAGCAGATGGCAAGTTCACCCTGGGTGCTGCTGTGGTGGGTGGCAGCTATGCAGAATGTCGGGTCCCAAGCCCTGCAGCCAGTTGCATCGGGACGCACTATCGCTTGTGCTGGTCTCATGGCATCCACGATGGCGGAGCCAACTATGTCGTGGAGCTGGGGACTTTCAGCATGAGTGGGCCCTTTGGCACATATCGTGTGGACTGCACCATGGGATCCATTTGTAGCTTTACACTCTATGGCTCAAATCTGGCGCTCACCAACAGGGTCATGGTGCTAGAGGAAACCAGCACCTGTGGCGATGCTGCTCCAGTGAAAGCTTCCTTTGCCGGCTTACTGAACCCTGGACTCTTCAGCCAAATTGCGGTCGATGGTTCTTCTGCGACTGTGAGGCTTGGTAAATCTCATGCTGGTCGTCCTGGCTCTTTTAGACTCTGTTGGGGCTTCAATCCATTGGTCGATTCAGATTATGTGGTGGATGTCGGGATGTTCTATTTCCATGACGTGCCAGAGGGTTGTACTCCTGGAGCATTTGGGCCTACTTGCTCAGTCCCGCGTTGAGCCTAGTTGGAAGAAAGCCTGGCTCCGCAATGTCACAAAATGGACGTTAATGCTATCAACCTTTGGTGGCAGACTGCGTGCAAAGTCACCATGGGATTCCAATGAGAATCCAGTCATTCACCTTGTTAAGCAAGGCCAAGTGAAAGGCCAAAGGATGAGGGTTTCAAAAGTTCTTTGGACATTCTGGCAGAGATTGAGGGCTGGTAACATGAGCTAAAGACAAGTGGAGCATGTCTTCCAATAAGCCATGTAAGCGTCTGAGCTTTGCATAAAAGCGGGCAAGTCCTTGCTTTATTTGTGTCAAGTCTCTGATATCCAGCTGGCGCGAGTATAGTTGAAGCTGAGGAAGCTTTCACCACACGGGTTGCATGTACGCTTTTTGATTTGTCACAGTGACACTATCCGTTTGTCAGCCTTTTTTGGGCGCTTGATTGTCGTTTTGACCCGGCCCATTTTCCTTTCCAGTTGCGCCTTTGCCTCAGTGATGCAGAGTCTGTATCTTCATGGCTTGCGTTGGATGGGTTGCCTGTGATGCATGATATTCTGAATAATTAACAACTTGTGCCACATGCCACATATCTATTCTTTCTACCTATATCTGCATCCGCTTGGAAGCTGATTTCCGCCCTCGCAGCACCTGTAGCCACGCAGGAGTGAAATTGTTGTATATTACCTACTTACAGATCTTATTGGCACTCCTGTGTGCAAGTCGGATAGCCTTGAACATGATTGAACTGTGTCTCTAGCAGCCTCTGGCTTGGGGAGGGCAGCTGCGCCACCCAAGATGCAAAGTTCACTTGGTTCATGGCGAGCTTGGCGAAGAGTGCGGCCAAGGGTGCTGTGGCGCAGTTGGAGTCAGCTGCATCAAGAGCTTTGGAGCCCAGGAACGGGTCACTGGGCATCACTGGGCCTAAGTTTGCTGGAAGACTTGCAAAACTGTGAGCTTAGCGTATTTACCGTACTTATCGTGATTTACGATGATTCGCCTGCAAAATTCAAGCGCAAGTCTGAACAATCCTGAAGAATTTGATCCATGTATTCCATGAAGCTTCACGGTTCCTCACTAGGCAAATTCAGGTGGACTATCTTCAGGATGGAAAACTTTTTCTGTCTTTCATGTATTGCGACAGAATGGGATTGTTTTCATTGGTTACGCTCGGTTCTGCAGATTGTTTGGGCGCAGGCGCCTCTACTTTGACACCGCACCAGGTCGGCACCTCTGTGCCTCAAGTCGAGACTGGTTGCCATTAGTTACATTAGCTACTTACGTCGGTCTTCACTGCTCAAGTTGAATTCTTTGAGAGGATTTGCTGAAGCCACAGGATTGGATCGAAACGAATTCTTCACGTGCAGGAAGCAGCAACCTTTTGTCTCTCTTGCCAGCTTTCGGTCTTGTTGTTGCATACCCCATAGGCCTGGAGAAGATGCTTCAGCGAGAGCTAGAGGCATCCACCTCAGACTCGGCCCTAAACTAGTTTCAAGCGGGCGTGTGAGATCATGAAAGCAGTAAGAATCTTTGCATTATTTGCTTCGTCCAAACGTTAACACATATTAACACAACATAACTAACATAACAAAACGATACAAAACCTGTGAGTTCAGACGAGTTCAGACGCCCAGGCATTTCAGCTGGGTTCTGTGGCCTTGACCCCTCGTGCTGGGGAGCTCTGGCTGACAGCGCCAGAGTCCGCATTGTGGCGTGCAACACTGCAGAGTCGGGTCCTGTTGGGCGCTCGCTTGGGCAACTTGGCTTCCAAAATTCCTTCGAAATTTACATATATATTATATATCATATTAAAATTTGTATCTTACATATGTGTAATTGTTTATATGAGATTTATTTATTATTTGTCCTAGCTAGTATAACACCTTATTGCTATTATTATTATTGTTGTTGTTGTTGTTATCGCATACTCTACAACTCTATAACTATACAGATGCACGCTTTAAATACACGCTATCAGCCAGCATGATCTGGCAGGTTAACACGGTCTCAATGCATCACTTTTCACTTCGTGATTGCTTCGGGGTGCGTTCGTTTTCGGCCCAGGCGTTGGTGATGTCTTCCACGCTGGCTACGAGTCGACCTTGTCTAACTATGCAGCAAGTCTGATCAGAACCGCTTTTATCTAACCGCTGATCAGAACAGCTTGTTGGGTGCGGTGTTGCAGTGTTCTTGCAAGGGCTATATCTATCTATCTATCAATTTATCTATCTATCCATCCATCCATCTATCTATGTATGTATCTATATAAATATGCAAATGCATAAGTGAATCAATATATATATATATACAGCAAACACACACACACAGATGGTATACGCACACGCACATACATACATACATACATACATACATACATACATACATACATACATACATACATACATACATACATACATACATACATACATACATACATACATACATACATACATACATACATACATACATACATACATACATACATATATATATATATTATAAATAAATAAATATAAGCATATATATATATATACATACATGTATACATACACACACATATATATATACTATATGTATATAATTATATAACATGTCTGTACATGGGATAGGTGTTGAAAGTTCAACTGCTGCACAGTCCCAATAAAAGGATTCCGAGCCGCAGAGATGTGAGAGCCAAGGTCGCCGGGATACCTTGGCCCGATTATCTCTGGTTTCGAGCAGAGCCGCTTGGACCTCCGCTCCTTGGACAAACTTCGATGAACTCTGATGTTGCGCATCTTTTGTGAGTACTTTCGGTGTACCAGTAGTATATACTAGCTGTGGGTTTTGTCACCTCATGGATTACCGGCGGACTTCCCAAGCTGTTGGTACGCATTGGCCATGTGCACCTTGTGAGCTACGTGGGTGGCCCATGCTTTGATCAGGCTCAAGGTGCAAGCAGAAAAGTCCCGCCTTTACCATACAGATGTCATTGAACGTGGTGTTCTTAGTGGAGACTTGGCTGATAGATGGTCTGTGCTACCGAGAGCTGCCATGCGCTCCTGTTCTCAACAGCCGTGTCAAAGTTATGCTGTAGTTGGTCCTGCACACCGTCGGCTTTGGCAATGTGTCGTGACGTCGTGTCAGGATCCAAGCCATTTACCCAACCATCATTTATCGAGGCATCGAGAAGCGAAGGCAGTTTTTCATGGGTCTGAAGTTGCAGAACAAGGAGTTTGCGTCGCTTTCGAGCATCAACAATTGTACAAGAGTTGTCAAGAATTCAACGTTGGCATTTGATTTTATGACTGGAAAAGCGAAACATCAAATCACATTACTGTAATTTGGCTTTGAACCATGGTCAGGGCAGCAGCCAGTTGAAGAATTAACATTTTGTTGGCTAGGATGACGGGAACTTCTATGGCAGAAAGGAGAGGGTGACTTGCCAAGTGCGCATTGAAACGTTTTCTCCATTGGGAACTCCTGCAACGAGGCCCCACATCAAAACGGAAGATTGTTCTTCCATGTTACAACCAAGGAAGGTCCCCCATTCCCAACTGTGCACGTGAATCTGTCCCAGTCACTGGCCTGAAATTCTGGGTGTGAAGATGTATGCAGATTGCGACAGTCCAATGTGACACCAGCCAATGGCGCATCAGCAATGCCTTCATGCCAGCCTTCAAGATGACCGGATGACCTGCTCGCCGAGGAACGAATGCCACATGAGTGTGGCTGCGACTGCGGCACCACATGCCCGGGCGTACGAGTTGGCACTGGATGAGGGGCAGATGGAGCAGGAAGAGGAGTTTTGTGGAGTCTCAAAGCGGAGCTGAGCCAATCCTAGAGAAGTGCTTGGCAGGTGATGCATAGGTATGCAGATGCATACCCCGAGTTGTTTCAGAGGAGATGCGTGGAAGTCCTTGGCTGCTTGAGCCTGCACATGCGGCAGCCTGCGCTGGGGCCCTAGGTACGGATTACTGCTGTCATTGTGGCTGTTGCTGCTGCCAGATTTTATGCTTCTTGCTGTTGTTGATGCCATCGTGGCAACTAGGTGATGAGAGCCAATCTTTTCAGACACCTGGAAGAGAGTGCACGCTCCGGGCACCACAGTGGCACTCAGTGCGGCCGATTTTGTTTGAAAGGCCGGCACGGCAAGGCTGCTAATGCTGAGGATGTTTGGCTGAGCACGTTGAACTCCTTGGTCCGGTCCTTCAATTTGAGCATTTCACTCACAGACTCCAGACTTTGCCCAGTTTGTTCGCTGCCAAGGCAGAAGCTTTGCGTTTGGGACCCTTTCTGCGGCAAGGGCACCCTGCTCCTGGAAGCCTTGGGCATTGCGATGGGTGTGCCGCCTGCAAGCCCTGCTGCTTGGCGGCAAACCTGTGGTGTTTGCTGCAAACTTCATGAGACTGAAAGAAAGGGAAGTTATCCAGTGTAAGTTTTTTGGGGATCCTGAGGCCATGATGATGCCTTTCCAGCAGTTTCCGGAGTTCAATCAAATGCACTTCCAGGAGGCAGATCCTGCCTGCACGCTTGGTGTGGGTCTTTGAACGGATGCAAGGTAGATCTGGGGCACCCTGCCGCACGGTAGGTGCTCCGGTCCCTGCAGTTGACCCCGCACCCAGATGTTGGTGAGATGTTGCTTCTGGGAAGCCACGAAGAGCAACCACACCTGGTGCACCTCGCCAACCTCAACCTGCAGGCAGTGAATTGATCATGGTTGAATATGGTTGAATGAGATGAATGCTGGTTACCTGTGCCAGGCTTTTGCGCGGTCAGTGCCAAGACCAAGGGCACCTTCCATGTGGACCCAAGCGTGGGCACCACCAGGGTCCAATGAGGTTGGCGTCGGAAGGGCTGCCACCCCATTCCACTCACTTTTCCCAGCAGGGCTTTGATTTCCGAGTCGGGTTGATTGCTTCTAAACTAGTTGGCTCAGTATATAGATGCGACATGATTTTTGGAGTTGGGCTCTCTGCGAGGCCCAGGACCTCACCACACTTGCCACACAGCGGCTGCCTTGTCCGACCGCGTTTCATTCGCTGCCTGCAGCATCCATTGCAGAGCGGATTCGTAGCCACCGTCCCCTGATCATTACCAGTGCATCTTGGCGCTGAAGAACTGGCAATAGACTCAATAGAACAGTCTCCCAGCTCATTCCAAAAACAAAGCATTTTTGTCATCACAGACTTTGCAGTTGTGTGGAGTTGAAAGATCTAGGTACCTTACGGCAAAAAAGCTGATGCACGGAAAGATCAGCGTGCCTACAAACGATTCGGCCAGCTGATTCGAAGCATGGACGTGCGCGACGTCTATTGTGTCTCTGCGAGGGAGGACAGTTGGACAGTCGTATATAAACGATTCAGGAAATCATCAATTGCAAAGGTTGGCATAACAAGTTGGCCAGGATTTCAAGAGGCTCACAGGCCTCGACTGGAGAGCAGAGCTGCGATTCTCAGCCTCAGGAGCAGGGGGCCACAGACCGTGGGCACATTGAGACAGTGGGATTCGCCCAAAGACACCAATCTCTCTGCAGAAGCTCTTGCGGCATATGCATATGGTGATATGTGATGATCATTGGGTCTTTTTGTAAGATTCCAAGCATTTCAGATAGTGACACTTTCGTGTTCTTTGCATGTCCCCTGGCACCTGCCTTGATGTGGCGGAAGGTGTGGCTTGAACTCCTGCGCTGGACAGGGCGTGAGGCTTCGGAACTACACTTCATTTCAAGCCAGCCTCGGGTGCGCAAGAAGCGCAAGGACTCTACGAGTACCCGCTCAAAAGCGGCCCTGCTTTTCAAACTTTTCTTCCCTGCCTTCTTACCGGATTGTTGCCTTGTGTTTTGTTTATTTTGTTTCTACGCAGGAGGTGCGGCCCAAGGACGAGGTTCCTGTGGTTGAGGAAACAGCTGCAGAGGATGCCGTGCGAACTGCAAACCACAGAAAGAAACCAAAAAGGCGGGCAGGTCATGAAGGTGTTATCAAGGTGTCACAGTTGGGAGCTTAAGGCCGTAGAACCGAATGTGATATTTTCGTTAGATTTTAGACCCTTTCCTTGGGCAGGTTGGCAGAAGCAACGCAAGAGGAGGCCACAATGATCCCTTGTGCAAGCGGATGCTAGTCATTCCTAATCGCCCGTGACGCTAGTCGGCTGCCAGGTGGCTGATGCAGCGGGTTCGGCCACGCAAAAAGTTGATTTCTCCTGCGCAGCATTCGGCTGAGTTGCTGCGGTTTGTTGTTGGCAGCCTTAAATGGATGAATACTGGCATCATCTGGCGACTCTGTTCAAGCCACCAAAGTCTAAAGCAAGGTTGCTTTGAACTGGATCTTGGGACATTCTGCCTGGGCCAACTACATATATGCAATTATAGGTAATTATTAGAACAATCAATCAATCAATTAATAAATAAAAATAAATCAATGTATATATATATACACAGAGGTACTTTCTATCGCATAAAGTATTGATACATCGTATAGTAAAGACAAGAATGGTCCCGCCAGTCTGTTTCAATCACCACTTCTCTCACAACCGCTGGCATTTGCGTTTCGCAATTTCGCAGTGCGCTTGAAGGAGATGCTTCGCCCAGAAAGTCTGCCACTTCTAAATGGCAAATACGAGCTACGCAGCTGCAAATCTGATCTGTTTTCGGCTTGCCTCCTTCGTGGTGTTACACAGAGCACGGTTTAGGTGAGCAGGACGCAGTCTTTTAGCACTGAAGATGGGCTGTTGCCACATGTTGCCACCAAGATGATCAAAACATAGAGGCTCACAGAAACTGAGGCATGACAATCCGTTCCTGGGCACAGGCATCTCATACCAGTTTGGCTTTTGGTTCAGGAAATTTTGTTTGAGTCTCAATGACATCGATTTGCACAGGAGCACATGTATCAAGGTGGCAAGTGCAGGATACGTCGGATACGTAGTCTGTTTGACAACGTCAGAGACTGCGAAGGTAGTGCTTATCGTCGCGCTCCTGGTGGAAGCTTCGTGTGTGATGTCTCGGTGGCTGAGAACCCCTGAGCCAAGATTTCATTCCCATGACACCTACGCCCTACGCTCTCAAAGCCAAGAACCAAGTTCCAAGTCCCACCAAGCCACCAAGTCTCGGATTTTATCCAGAAAGCCATGTCAAGCATTTCTTCATCAACTGTATTCCACATTTCAGCAAGAAACTGCCTCTAAGAGGTGAGTTCGGCTAGCGCAGTGTCACCAGTGCAGTTCTGGCCGCCTCTGAAGGAGGCATCAAAGAGCTCTGCGGCTCTGCGCGAAAACGTTTGCCACGCTTGGACTTTGCATCATTGTTGTAACCAGCGTTGGTCCAGTAAAGGATCAGTTTGACATTGACCAGACCATCATGTTTCCGTTTTCGCTGTGAGTCTTTGGGTGACCACAGTATATCTTTAAATTAAAGCTTACTATGACTTCAATGCTCGTAGACTCACACTCAAGAAAAAAAGAGAGAGAGAGAGACTGCTCACCAATAGAAAGCCGCAACAGAGAGCGCAGCATCTAGTGGGCTCTTTTGATGCTTCGTGCAGTACCATGTGCTCCGTGCTGATCGTTGATGTTGAACCTTCCTGCCGCGGAGCTGTGAAGCGGCTCAGCCACTATACTCAGAACCATCCAACGGTAACCTGAAGGGTACACCTTGAGGCATGGACCGTGCCGAAGCATTTTTCGAGTGACGGGATTGACCTTGGATTCCTTCCGGCTTTAAATTTCTCAGGCTATGGAGAAGCTCACAGCCGACATTGAGCAGATCAAGGCCTGTGTGACACCGTCCAAGATTTGGACACAATTTTCTGCATCAACCGGCCTCGATCCATCCATTGATCACTTCCAGGAGTTTGCTGCTGTGGATCTGCGAGGTTGGGGCCAGCTCTGTAAGGGTGACCTTGGCCCCAAGGGCCCCCAGAACTTATGGCTTGGCGCAGGCAATCGCACTTTCCTCCTTGTTGCAGGTGGGCCAGTGGGAGATTCAGTTGTTTCATTTTGCCTCAAGGGGGAATGTCCATGAATGTCCACGTTTTGCCCTGTCATAATGTAGCAATGTAGCCATTCTTGCAATGCTGGTAGTGACTAAGGTTTTCAAAGAGGTGGACGATTGATCACTTGTCTGTGGCCCAAGGGCTGCTATTTGCCTGTTATCATTTTCAGTGTGGATGAGACCAAAGAAACTATGCAGCCTATGGATGCATTGATCTAGCATTCTCAGGGCAAGTGGACACAGAGCTTGATGAGCTCGTGAGACGTATCACTTTGGCCAAAACGACCTGAAGCGACTATTATGGCTCATAGCACTGTTGCGGCATCGCAGTAGGAAACAAGTTGCTTAAGCTCAAGTCCTTGTGCCCTCGAATTTCATGAAGTGCCATTGCTTTGATGACTATCCATTCGGTTGAAAGAATGACATTTTCGCAGTGCATTAAGTGAAGTACGGGTAGCTGAAGGCATGTCTCGGCCAAGCCAAGTTGGAGTACCATGTGTCTAGCCAGCAGCACTCAGCAGCGTTTTCTATCAAACTGCCGTTTGCAATGATAGTGCAGGCACGAAAACCTCAACCATCCTTGGTTTACCTGACAAGATGTCTGCCATGCGGCGGTACGTGGGTCGGAATGCTACTTCTGCAGTCCTGGTGAGAACCTCAAAGCACCTTTGCCTTGCCCCATGGATCTTTGGATTTTCTGGCAGTCAGTCCAGCCCAACATAGTCAATACACTGCATGTCTTGTTCATCTTGTTCATCTTGTTGCTTTTGCCCAGTGCGACAAGCACTTTGCATTGTGTTTGGAAAGAGTAGTTTCTGTGAACATTTTGTGCCTTTCTGCTTCTTTTCTGCCTGCCCGGCGATGTGACAAACCTGCAGGGCTTAGCAGCCGTGCTCATTGGCAGACGTAGCGTAGTCCGTAGCCGAGCGTTCTCGGCAGAGCAATTCTTGCGTGAAACTGCTCCACCGCTGGATGGCCTATCGTACAAGGGCCAGGGGGGCCGGGTGACTGAGCTCAAGAATCCTATATATCCCTATCAACATGGGCCCAACATGGCAGCCTCTTCACAAACAGTTGCTTTACTTTTGGAATTAGCTTGCTTTGTCAGCTCGTTTCCATTCTACTTGGATTTGCTGTCTTTGATCATCTTTGATCTTTCAACATGGGCAGAAACGCAAAGGAGCGCAGCGGCTGGTGTCGAACATGCAGGCATTTTGTGACCATGAAACTGTTCGGAAACACTGCCCTAGGTGGGTATCTTTGGCGGCTCTGGGGACTACACTGGAGCGCCCTACTATGCAGGACATCTGCACGCGGGTGCAGAAAAGTGAATTCGACCTGTGGAATATTCGCACTTCGACACGGTATGACGTGGTGGATCATGACGGCGGACAATGGGCCACGTATAGTCGTACAAGACACAAGCCTGTTTCTTAATGTTTCTTATAAAGGGCTACGCCCTCTGCCGCCGACCCCTGGACACTGGAGGGTCATGCCTGCCTCTGTGTCGTAAGCATGAAATGAACCCTAAAGAAACCAGAAACTGACCTAAACAAACCATTTGTATGTGCGTTTGGCACTGTGCACATGCAAGCAGCATGGACCCCTGCAGGATGACACGCACAACTATGTGTTCTGACACTTTTTCATGGCTCAAGAAATAGGAGCTTTCGTCATTGGGCAGGTGTCTTGGGGACCTAAAGGGTTGCTCTAGCACTTAAGACCCATACCCGAAGCCCCCGTTCGTAACCGCAGTATGAAACTTTAAATGGCATCCTAAAGAGACCCGAGACGACACTGCACTGCCAACTGCCACCCTGCTCGTGTCCTCCTGGAGCCGGCTTTCGTTCTGCACCGCTTCGGTCCAAGCTGGAGTCCAAGGACCGTGTCGCAGGGCTAAAACACCATGGCAGTGAAGGACGGATTGGGCCCGCGGCCCGTATCCCAGACTGCCAAACGTCACTTTCTGAACCGACTAGAAACTAGCTCCAAACCTTGACTTTTCCTGCGTTTCTGCACTGCCAACTGCCACCCTGCTCGTGTCCTCCTGGAGCCGGCTTTCGTTCTGCACCGCTTCGGTCCAAGCTGGAGTCCAAGGACCGTGTCGCAGGGCTAAAACACCATGGCAGTGAAGGACGGATTGGGCCCGCGGCCCGTATCCCAGACCAAACCTTGACTTTTCCTGCGTTTCTGCACTGCCAACTGCCACCCTGCTCGTGTCCTCCTGGAGCCGGCTTTCGTTCTGCACCGCTTCGGTCCAAGCTGGAGTCCAAGGACCGTGGCAGTGAAGGACGGATCTGAACCGACTAGGAACTAGCTCCAAACCTTGACTTTTCCTGCGTTTCTGCACTGCCAACTGCCCCCCTGCTCGTGTCCTCCTGGGGCCGGCTTTCGTTCTGCACCGCTTCGGCCCAAGCTGGAGTCCAAGGACCGTGTCGCAGGGCTAAAACACCATGGCAGTGAAGGACGGATTGGGCCCGCGGCCCGTATCCCAGACTGCCAAACGTCACTTTCTGAACCGACTAGAAACTAGCTCCAAACCTTGACTTTTCCTGCGTTTCTGCACTGCCAACTGCCACCCTGCTCGTGTCCTCCTGGAGCCGGCTTTCGTTCTGCGGCTCCAAACCTTGACTTTTCCTGCGTTTCTGCACTGCCAACTGCCACCCTGCTCGTGTCCTCCTGGAGCCGGCTTTCGTTCTGCACCGCTTCGGTCTAAGCTGGAGTCCAAGGACCGTGTCGCAGGGCTAAAACACCATGGCAGTGAAGGACGGATTGGGCCCGCGGCCCGTATCCCAGACTGCCAAACGTCACTTTCTGAACCGACTAGAAACTAGCTCCAAACCTTGACTTTTCCTGCGTTTCTGCACTGCCACCTGCCACCCTGCTCGTGTCCTCCTGGAGCCGGCTTTCGTTCTGCACCGCTTCGGTCCAAGCTGGAGTCCAAGGACCGTGTCGCAGGGCTAAAACACCATGGCAGTGAAGGACCCCAGACTGCCAAACGTAATTTTCTGAACCGACTAGAAACTAGCTCCAAACCTTGACTTTTCCTGCGTTTCTGCACTGCCAACTGCCACCCTGCTCGTGTCCTCCTGGAGCCGGCTTTCGTTCTGCACCGCTTCGTCCAAGCTGGAGTCCAAGGACCGTGTCGCAGGGCTAAAACACCATGGCAGTGAAGGACGGATTGGGCCCGCGGCCCGTATCCCAGACTGCCAAACGTCACTTTCTGAACCGACTAGAAACTAGCTCCAAACCTTGACTTTTCCTGCGTTTCTGCATTGCCAACTGCCACCCTGCTCGTGTCCTCCTGGAGCCGGCTTTCGTTCTGCGGCCCGTAGCCCAGAGTGCCAAACGTTACTTTCTGAACCGATTAGAAACTAGCTCCAAACCTTGACTTTACCTGCGTTTCTGCACTGCCAACTGCCACCCTGCTCGTGTCCTCCTGGCGCCGGCTTTCGTTCTGCACCGCTTAGGTCCAAGCTGGAGTCCAAGGACCGTGTCGCAGGGCTAAAACATCATGGCAGTGAAGGACGGATTGGGCCCGCGGCCCGTATCCCAGACTGCCAAACGTCACTTTCTGAACCGACTAGAAACTAGCTCCAAACCTTGACTTTTCCTGCGTTTCTGCACTGCCAACTGCCACCCTGCTCGTGTCCTCCTGGAGCCCAGACTGCCAAACGTCACTTTCTGAACCGACTAGAAACTAGCTCCAAACCTTGACTTTTCCTGCGTTTCTGCATTGCCAACTGCCACCCTGCTCGCGTCCTCCTGGAGCCGGCTTTCGTTCTGCACCGCTTCGGTCCAAGCTGGAGTCCAAGGACCGTGTCGCAGGGCTAAAACACCATGGCAGTGAAGGACGGATTGGGCCCGCGGCCCGTATCCCAGACTGCCAAACGTCACTTTCTGAACCGACTAGAAACTAGCTCCAAACCTTGACTTTTCCTGCATTTCTGCACTGCCAACTGCCACCCTGCTCGTGCCCTCCTGGAGCCGGCTTTCGTTCTGCACCGCTTCGGTCCAAGCTGGAGTCCATGGACCGTGTCGCAGGGCTAAAACACCATGGCAGTGAAGGACGGATTGGGCCCGGCCCGTATCCTAGACTGCCAAACGTCACTTTCTGAACCGACTAGAAACTAGCTCCAAACCTTGACTTTTCCTGCGTTTCTGCACTGCCAACTGCCACCCTGCTCGTGTCCTCCTGGAGCCGGCTTTCGTTCTGCGGCTCCAAACCTTGACTTTTCCTGCGTTTCTGCACTGCCAACTGCCACCCTGCTCGTGTCCTCCTGGAGCCGGCTTTCGTTCTGCACCACTTCGGTCTAAGCTGGAGTCCAAGGACCGTGTTGCAGGGCTAAAACACCAATGCAGTGAAGGACGGATTAGGCCCGCGGCCCGTATCCCAGACTGGCAAACGTCACTTTCTGAACCGACTAGAAACTAGCTCCAAACCTTGACTTTTCCTGCGTTTCTGCACTGCCAACTACCACCCTGCTCGTGTCCTCCTGGAGCCGGCTTTCGTTCTGCACCGCTTCGGTCCAAGCTGGAGTCCAAGGACCGTGTCGCAGGGCTAAAACACCATGGCAGTGAAGGACGGATTGGGCCCGCGGCCCGTATCCCAGACTGCCAAACGTCACTTTCTGAACCGACTAGAAACTAGCTCCAAACCTTGACTTTTCTTGCGTTTCTGCACTGCCAACTGCCACCCTGCTCGTGTCCTCCTGGAGCCGGCTTTCGTTCTGCACCGCTTCGGTCCAAGCTGGAGTCCAAGGACCGTGTCGCAGGGCTAAAACACCATGGCAGTGAAGGACGGATTGGGCCCGCGGCCCGTATCCCAGACTGCCAAACGTCACTTTCTGAACCGACTAGAAACTAGCTCCAAACCTTGACTTTTCCTGCGTTTCTGCACTGCCAACTGCCACCCTGCTCGTGTCCTCCTGGAGCCGGCCTTCGTTCTGCACCGCTTCGTCCAAGCTGGAGTCCAAGGACCGTGTCGCAGGGCTAAAACACCATGGCAGTGAAGGACGGATTGGGCCCGCGGCCCGTATCCCAGACTGCCAAACGTCACTTTCTGAACCGACTAGAAACTATAGCTCCAAACCTTGACTTTTCCTGCGTTTCTGCACTGCCAACTGCCACCCTGCTCGTGTCCTCCTGGAGCCGGCTTTCGTTCTGCACCGCTTCGGTCTAAGCTGGAGTCCAAGGACCGTGTTGCAGGGCTAAAACACCATGGCAGTGAAGGACGGATTGGGCCTGCGGCCCGTATCCTAGACTGCCAAACGTCACTTTCCGAACCGACTAGAAACTAGCTCCAAACCTTGACTTTTCCTGCGTTTCTGCACTGCCAACTGCCACCCTGCTCGTGTCCTCCTGGAGCCGGCTTTCGTTCTGCGGCTCCACACCTTGACTTTACCTGCGTTTCTGCACTGCCAACTGCCACCCTGCTCGGGTCCTCCTGGAAGCCGGCTTTCGTTCTGCCGCTTCGGTCCAAATCAGCTGGAGTCCAAGGACCGTGTCGCGGGCTAAAACCCCATGGCAGTGAAGGACGGATTGGGCCGCCCGCGGCCCGTATCCCGACTGGCAAAACGTCACTTTCTGAACCGACTAGAAACTAGCTCCAAACCTTGACTTTTCCTGCGTTTCTGCACTGCCAACTGCCACCCTGCTCGTGTCCTCCTGGAGCCGGCTTTCGTTCTGCACCGCTTCGGTCCAAGCTGGAGTCCAAGGACCGTGTCGCAGGGCTAAAACACCATGGCAGTGAAGGACGGATTGGGCCCGGCCCGTATCCCAGACTGCCAAACGTCACTTTCTGAACCGACTAGAAACTAGCTCCAAACCTTGACTTTTCCTGCGTTTCTGCACTGCCAACTGCCACCCTGCTCGTGTCCTCCTGGAGCCGGCTTTCGTTCTGCACCGCTTCGGTCCAAGCTGCAGTCCACGGACCGTGTCGCAGGGCTAAAACACCATGGCAGTGACGGACGGATTGGGCCCGCGGCCCGTATCCCAGACTGCCAAACGTCACTTTCTGAACCGACTAGAAACCAGCTCCAAACCTTGACTTTTCCTGCGTTTCTGCACTGCCAACTGCCACCTTGCTCGTGTCCTCCTGGAGCTGGCTTTCGTCCTGCGGCCCGTAGCCCAGAGTGCCAAACGTTACTTTCTGAACCGATTAGAAACTAGCTCCAAACCTTGACTTTACCTGCGTTTCTGCACTGCCAACTGCCACCCTGCTCGTGTCCTCCTGGCGCCGGCTTTCGTTCTGCACCGCTTCGGTCCAAGCTGGAGTCCAAGGACCGTGTCGCAGGGCTAAAACACCATGGCAGTGAAGGACGGATTGGGC